ACTGAAGCTCAAAACCCGATATGATATATGCGAGCCAATGAATGTGAAAGTGTTTATGAAAGAGTATACTACGCATCGGAAAAATGCCAATTCGCCGCTGGGCATTTCACTTGTTTTGCGAAGTGTCTCCGTCAGGCGCATGATGAAACATTGACAAAAAATGAAAAAAAACGATCGATCGTCAATTATTTGCGATTTTCGAGGGAGCTCGACGTCCGATGCGGGCCGAGTGAGATAGTTAATCAGCAGGCTGCTGCGAGCAAAGAAAATTGTAAAATCGGTTGCATCGTCGACAGCCAACACTGTTTAATCTTCGATTTGGCTCACGTCATCATGCGATTCCCCAGCGACGCGACGGAAGCGGCTGGCTGTAACGAAATAATTATCAAACAAAGAAAAAACAATTTTTTTAAATATGACTCGAACCGGTAAGAATCCACTGTATCTCAAGTTGAAAATAGTATCGAACAAGCCTACCAAAATCGTTTGGTTTTGCACAGCGCAAACTTATATATCCAAGCGACTAGTAAACAGTGCGCCAAGTTTTACCGATTGATCGATTATGCGAAATAGTACGTTGTCCGCGATTTGCTGCCGGTTGGATAGACTATTTATCTCTGGCAAAGGCCGATCAACAAGTATATAAATCATAACGGATGAGTTCGATCCGATCAGTCTGCTGTTAGCACGAGCAGAACGCTGCGACGCTTAGCGGTCTGCGTTGCGTTCACCGCTCCGAGCTCGTTCCGATGGAGTTCCATGACACGTGGCCTTTGGAAGAATCGTAGTTAGCGGCTACGAGCAAGGAATCGAGTTCTGAAAGGGCAAGACGTAGCTGACTGTAGCGAGTTGCAAGAACGGCGACGTCGACGATCTACTGGTGTACTCACTGGCCAATAACGCGTCACTGCTTGTTACCGTTCGCGACGTCTATTTCAGGGCCAAGGCTAGCATCGACGGTATCGTACCATCGCCGGCATCCACCGAATGTTCCGTCCTCTGCGCGGTGAGGACCAAGGCGTTCGTCGACGCCAAAGACAGGATGGGAGCAGAGCAGATCGACAGCGTCGGCTACGCGTGCTTCCCGGATGGCCAGATCGATTCTTCGTTTGGCTCAAAAAGTAGTCACTGCTCGATTGGGAAAGCAACTCCGAGGCGCTCGGTTTCCAAATTGACACGTATTTCCCGCGAGCTCGGCAACGATTCCTGACGACCAATTTTTCGCGAGACTCTTCTAAATAAAGCTGCGCGTCTCGGGTAAACATCAGCGCACGACCTCCACTCTTCTCGAACGTTACGATTTGAAATGTCGTCCATTGAGCTATAGTCGCAAAATTTTACGAGGGAAACTTTAGTGGCTTGTATTTTCGGACGCGATTTATTGAAAATAAAATGTCGCACTCCCGTAATCTCTATAATGCCTCTTGCTTAGAGAGATAGTTTTACGACGTACTTTGACAATAAAATTTTTACTCTTGTGCTAATCGCTAATGCCGTAACGTTCAATTCTTAGTTTTTCAACGATCTACTTTAGGCGAATGGTTTAAATGTCATTACAAAAATTGTCCCGACAGTTTTGCTTCTCCTATTAATTTTCTCCCGACGGAGTAAATAATCGATAAAAGAACTTTGTAAGACTTTCCGGTGCACAATGAGCTGAAGGCTTACTGTTGTTCATTTGTTGATTTGTTGGCGTCTAAATATTTGCGGATTACCATTGAAATTGGATTCGGTTCACGTTTCTCCTCGCTATAAAAGTATCACTGATAACGAGCATTTTAACGCGACATTGAGACGATAATAGCATAATAGTGCAACTTATCTCTTAATTATATTACGCAGACTTCAAAGTCTTCCACTGCGAAATTTCAACGCAGCTTTGACGAGGCGCGGGGCCGACTCGGCACATCGTATTAGTAAGCGTCGCGTCCGTTCGGCGCGGGCGTCCATTCAAGACGAGAGCGAGAGGAAGAAAAGAGATCTCGCGCGCAGGAAGTGCAAATGAAAAGGGAGCCGCGCATCGCCGAGGCGAATTAGATCGAGGTGAAAGGCCGCGACCGGCAAAGCCGAGATATAACGGCGTGAAAGGACCCCTCCCTTCGAAAAAGCAGAGCGAGCCGAGCGGCCGACGCGAGATCCCCTTTAATCTCAATTCCGCCGTGGCGTTTCCGCAAGGGCGCGCCGTTAACGCGGGCTCGCTTATCGCTATATATATACACACACGTGGCGCCCGAACTAGGTTGCTCGGGCGATCGTGCGCGCGAGAAGTTGATTGTCGGCGGAGCGTCGATTGGAGCTTCGGCGCTGCGCGTCCAGCCCCGATCCTTTCATCGTTTATTCTTTCTTTTTCTTTTTTTCCTTCTCGCCGCGGTTGCGAAGCAATCGGCGAAAGGCTCGTCGGAAAATTACCAAGTCGCGACACGCCTCGCGTCGTTCCCACATCTCGAGAATCGACGCGCGGACGTCGCGGTGCCTACCCCGCGGGAAATCCATTTTTGCTTTGTTTTAATTCTTCTCTCGGACGTAGCGTAAAACTTGACGCGCTGCGCCGGACGATGCTCCCGAAGAGTCGCGGATCGCGCGCCCTGCCGTTCCACTTCGGCGGCCGGCAGCTTGGTCGTCGTCGCGCTCGGGCGGCCTCCCTGAATTTGATAATCGCGGAAATAAAGCGCGCGATTAACATTTCATGCGAGCGGATTGGAAAATTGGACGCGTCGCGCGGCTGGAATGCGGCCGTTGGTCGCGTGCGCCTTGACTCGCGCCGTCATTTGCCTTTTTCTTTCCCTTCCTCCTTCTTTTTGACGCAACGCGTCGCCCGGTAAACTAATCGCGCGTCTTCGGGGGCACACCACGGCGCGTCGGATGGGAGTGGCCGGTTGAACAGGTGAGCGCGGCGCGGCGCAATTACGCATATCGAATCGACGTTTCACAGCCGCGTGCGATCCGCGAGTCTCGCGGACGGCCGCGTTGTCGCTCGACGCCTGGGAAACGGTGACGTTTGGCTCGGCGCGCGCTAGCGACATGCGAATTCTCGAAACTTTCAATTTTGGCATTGGAGCTCGTTGAGCGCGCAAATTCAGCGTATGACATCGTCGGAAAGGATTCTATTTCGCCAGCAGCCTATGCGCTTGTTTTTATCGCAAGCGCAATTGAGAGGCGTATCGCCGAGCGGCAAGTTTCACCGCGATAATTGAGCGAAATGACCGTTAATTGATTTTTCTCGGCTGAGCCGGGAAACAAGGAATGCAATTAGTGAACTTCAGCGAGTGTAGTCCCGGAGATTAAGGAGCCATTAAGATAAGCAAAATGGCAAACAACTCGTTTATTGAAGCTCAAGCAGCGACGTTAAAGCCCAATGAATTTACGATTATTTACTAAGGTCTCAGCGGTAAATGTCTATTATAATGCTTGCCCTTTGCGTAACAGTCGACGCGCATCTGTTGTTTTTTTCTTTTTTTCCTCGGTCTTGCAATTTTCTCGCGCGGCTTCGACTCGCTTCAATTATCGACTTTTGAAAAGAGGTAGACGAGCGGCAATATGCAATTGACACCGAAGCGGAGCGTTAATTACTCGGACGCGTGAATTCAGCGTGTAAGTACAACGCAAAGACAGAGAGAGAGAGAGAAAGAGAGAGAGAGAAAGAGAAAGAGAAAAAGGTGCCGGCGATTGGTCGAACGTATATACATGCGAGCGCCGGCGTGCAGTCGTAAATAATAGTCCAGGGCCGCATCAATTACTCCTCGTTCGCGTTAAGACAGTCGCTGATGCGCTCGCGGATTTGCCGGCGCGCGCGAGGGTCGCGGACTCGAGCCCTGATACCGCGTTTCCCAGATGGACGGAGCTTCCCGTGACGCAAGATCGCCGCGAGACGACCGCGCTCGCGGCTTGCGTCAGGCCGCCGATATCGGCCGAACATTCCTGAACCAGTTCCAAGGGTCGCGCGCGCTTATGTAGGCGAGGCGTCGCTATTGCGCAATTTCGCCGTCCGATGATCGCGAGGAAAGCGCGATCGGGGCGTAACACGCGCGGCACGCCGAATTGCTTTCGATCGAGGCGCGCGCTCGTACGGAGTTTCATGTCAAGGTTGCGCGGCTCGCGAAACGCGTAATCGCCGTGCGGGTCGCCAACGTTCCGCTTCTTCTCCGTGCCGCACCGAGAGAGCGAGCGAGGATCGATCCGCGCGCGCCTCGCAGCCCGGAACGAGTGGCGATTATTAATAACGGTGCCGTCGGAGCACGCGGCCCCCGTTGCGCAACAGCCGACGAAGACGAGGCGCGAGCGAGGCGAGCAAACACTCGGCGTCCCACGCCTCGGCGCGCGCCGACCTTTCCCCCTGCCCCGCGCGCGCGAATACTTGGCAGCTGATCCGCCGCCGCCGCGCCGCGACCTGCGTCACTCCCATTCCCGGCAGCCAAGGTCGCGCTCCGCCGAGCCGCGCGCCGCGCTGGACCGTCCGCGAGCGCTCGCCTCCACGCGGGACGCGCCGTCGGCCGGGGGCCGCGGGCCGCGCGCGGCGAGGCGCGACAGGGAGGAGCGGCCGCGTATTTTCGGACGGCGCGGCCGATCGATGAGGCAACGCGCTCCGCGATCCGATGGGCCAATCGACGCGCATCGGAACGCGCTCGGCTCGCCTGCTCAGCCACAGCCCTGACATTCGCACCCGCTTTCTCCGTCGGTCGCCCTCCGCTGGTCGCGCGTTCGGCACGAGTGCGCGCGGCCGAGCGACGATCGCGAGGAGAACGCGACCCGTCTCCATTTCGCCGCGGCGACGAGGCGTCCGGGGCGACGTCCCGCGCAGCGCCAATTATTATTTTTGACAGCGCGGCGATCGGCGCGCGCCACCGAGTCTATTATTGGAGCTGCGAGCGATGGGCCGGCGAGGAGGGAAGGAGATCGGGCAGAGCGCGTCCGTGGCGACCCCCGTGGAAGCGACCTGGCGGCTCGGAAGCGCGGCGGCGGCGGGGCGCGCTCGCCGGAGCCCCACTCCCGGGGGACGCGGCCGCGCCGCGGGGCCGAGCCGCTCTGGGCGCGCGGCGGTACACGAGCGAGTCAGTCGCGCGCGCGCGAGCCTGCCGAGCAGTCAGTCCGCCGGAGCGCCGTCGTCCCGTCCGCCGCCATGTGCAAGCGCAGCCTCGCGAGCCCGCTGGCCCCGCTGGGCCTGCTGGGCCTGCTCGGCCTGCTGGGCCTGGCCGTCGCGCACGAGCCCTTCATCGTGCAGTTCCAGTGGAACGCCATCAACTTCACGTGGCCGTCGCCCGACGGCTGGATCAAGGCCACCAAGGATCCCGACGCCTACGTCGACAAGAACGTGGTTATCTCGAGCGTGAAGCTGTGGAAGGATCGCATGTACCTGACGCTGCCGCGCTACCGTAGCGGCGTGCCGGCCACCCTGGCCGTGACCCCGGCCACGGTGCAGAACGGTAGCACGGCGCCGCTGCTCGAGCCCTACCCCAGCTGGGACATGCAGCGCGTCGGCGACTGCTCGGCCTTCCAGACCGTGCAGAACATGGAGATAGACCCGCGCGGCCGCATGTGGGTGCTGGACAGCGGCCGCGTCGAGACCATGACGCTCGAGTCCAAGGCCAGCTGCCCGCCGCGCCTCGTGATCCTCGACCTGGAGAACGGCGGCGCGGTGCTGCGCAGCTACGCCTTCCCCAGGGACGTCATCAACTACGACTCGGGCATCCTCAACGACATCGTGATCGACCACGAGCACGGCGGCATGGCCTACATCACCGACTCGGACGAGCGCAACCCCGGCCTGATCGTCTTCTCGCTGAACGAGACGGCCTCGTGGAAGGTCTACCACGAGTCCATGAACTATGTGCCCGACGCGGTCGGCTTCAAGATCGAGAACATCAACTTCCCCGACAAGGTCAACATCGACGGCATCGCGCTGTCGCCGGCCTACAGCGAGGGCGACGCGCGCGAGCTCTACTTCACGCCGCTGTCCTCGTTCAACGTGTTCGTGGTGCGCACGCGGGCGCTGCTGCAGGTGCGCGACCTGCCGGCCGAGGAGCGCCGCCGCGAGATCGGCAAGCACATCAAGATCCTGGGGCGCAAGCCCTCGCAGACCGACGGCATGGTCATGTCCAACACGGGCAAGCTGTACTTCGGCCTGCTGGCCGACGACGCCGTGGCCATGTGGGACTCGAAGAGCAACCCGTCCTTCGTCACCGGCCAGCGCATCATCTCGCGCGACCACAAGCTCATGCAGTGGCCCGACAACTTCGCCTTCGACGACAGGGGCCAGCTGTGGTGCATCACCAACCGCATGCACGTCTACGTCAACAACTCGGTGGACGTCAGCCAGCCCAACTACCGCGCCATCATGTCCAAGGTCGGCATGCGCAGCTACCAGTACTACGCCGACGGCACGGCGCCCGAGTGGCCCGACGTCGACGCCGGCGCGAGCGCCGCCTCCGGGGCCCTCGTCGCCGCGCTCGCCCTGCTGGCGGGCGCGCTGCTCGCGCGTTGACGCGCTCCGGCGCGCGGGCCCCCGGGGGCGCGCTGCTCGTCTCTCCGCCGCGCCACCAGCCGTTTCGCGCTCCTCCTCTCGACCGCTCGCCTCGCCGCGGCGCGTGCACCGGGCAGTCGGCCGCGCGCGCGGCGGCGCCTCGCCCCCGCCCGACGCCCTTCTTTTGTACATTGCGACGGCGACGCGCGCCCGTCGTCGCCGAGGACGTCCGCGCGTCCCCTTCCTCGCTCGTGCAGCTTAACCGCGCTGACCTAACCCAGATTTCCATTTCTTTTTTTCTCTTAACAACGCGAGAGGAGAATAGAGTAACGAGGTGTTAACCGTTTAGAGCCTTCGCACGTTCGTCTTAGTCGCGTAGATAATTTATGTAACGCGGTGCGCTGCGCGCGATAACGAGTCGTAATTGGCCAAATCGAAAACAGCCGCGAAGACCGATCTGGACTCTCGATGGCGAACGCGCGCGTGGTCAGCGAAAATAAAAGAAAAACAGAAGAAGCAAAATGTGCTCTCCGCCTAGCGAAACTTGTTGTATGCGTCTCGCGCCAAGTCGTCCATCCCCTCCGCGGCTATCCATTCGATCGATGCACCAAACGCAATCTCCTGCGAGCGAGGACGATGGACGACGGTTATATGTATTTGTGGATGTTGTGATGACGCGAGAGAGAGAGAGAGAGAGAGAGAGAGAGAGAGAGAGTGAGAGAGAACGATAGAGAGATCAGCCTACGATGGCCTTATTATATATCCGAACCAAAAAGACAAACCACAAGCGCCTGTTGTATCTGTATGTTCAAGTTACCAGATTTCTTTTTTGCACGACGATTATAAGAAACGGCGGACAGCGCTGATAACGAGTAAGATATTTATTATTATATTAATATAGTTCTGTACAATAATGGTGACGAAAGAACGAATTATTAAAGAATAATACACGTAACTTAAGTTTGAAATTGCACGCTTGTCAATTCATTCGATACCATGACCAACGCCGAGGGAAGCGCATCCCTCAATTAGCATTTGCCGAGAGATAGGCGCGCGGACGGTAGCAGGCCGCGGTTAATTGTTCGCGCGAGGATGCATGCGCGCAACGCTCGTGTCCCAGTTTCGCGGACGCCACTTTCACTCTCGCTGCGGCGCGCGCTCTTCCTCGGCGCTTCGCTCCGCTCGACTTTAGCCGCGATAATTTGAGCACTAGGTCACTACTACGCTCGCGCGCGTCTATTTCGCTCGGCGAGTCGACGCGTGTTTGTTTTTTTCTTTCCTCTGCGCTCGGCATTCGTTCGCGCGCAACGACCGATTGGCCCGTCGAGTGAGCTGCGACGCGAACGACGACCCAGAGAGGAGAGCGTGTCGAGTGCAACCGGCAATAATCGAGCGACTGATACTTGATTTTTTTGGAAAGACGCTATCAATTGCGGCTTGATTCAATTGCGGACGCGCGGCATCTGCGTATATCAATCAGCGCTCGAGTCAAGATAAGCACGGCGACGGCGCGAGCGCGAAAAAGTGAGAGCGATCGACCCGCGATTCTCCGTCGACTGCTTCGAAAGCGCGAGTTCCAATTAATTATCTCGAACGGGGAAGCGCGTTGTCTAAGCGTCGCTGCGTGGCGCGCGCGTGACGGCAAAATTGCACTGCGCGCGACCAATCGACGAGATGCAAGCCAGTAAGGGAGCGAGATTTCGCACTCGGGTCGCCTCCTACGAGAGATGCGCGCGTAACGCATGGTCGTCGTCGACGCAGAGTTGCGCAACAACCTGTTGCACGGCGCTCTGACACTCTTTGCGAAAATCAGTCGGGTTCGCGCGCGTAGGCGTGACTCAGGCGTGACTCAGGCGCGACGAGAACTATGGGAATGGAAACCATGTGCTGGCGTCGTCGTCCGGCGCGCACGCGAATCGCGAATTGCAACACGTTGACTGGAATCCGAAATGGGAGGGATCGCTACTTGCCATCCTCGAACGAGATGCAGCGGATAGGTGGCGGCGCACGCTAGCGGCGCTCCGTGGTAACTGGACGCAACTGATTTTCCATTACCGAGTGATGAGGACACGGAGATCCCTGCATTATCGAGTGCGAGTAGCTCGCTGTCAGCGAACGACACGCGAAATAATTTCTCGCTCGAACGTGCCTACGCGATATTTATAGTAGCGAATACGAATGTAATTCGAACGAAACAATGCAATAATCCGAGGGAATGCCAATGACGCTTATCGCGTGATCGCAGCATCCCAGCCTAACCTTAACCGTGAGATGTCGCCGGTTCTTCCGTGTCTATCTATCCATCTCTGTCAGTCGGAGCGTGCTTAGCACGCAACTTTCTCTCGGTCACTCCACCAATCGCCATCGCGGTTGGGCGAGAGTTTCCATGGAGTTTCCATGTGGCGTGTGGCCGGCTCAGTCTGCTTCTGCTGCCCAGCTGGTTCACATCGTCAGTAGCAAGATTGTCGTCGCTGACACCTCACGCGCGACATACAACGTCTAAAGTTAGACTCGGTCACTGTTTAAAGCACGCCTGCAAGTGTCATTCACGTGTGCGTGTCCCTTAACTTACAGTCAAAGCCTCCTTCCTTGTCCTGCAGGGTACGAGCGCTCGCGTTTGTGCTGTGCGCTGTGTGACCTAGCGTAGCCCGGCATTCGGTTCCAATAGTAACCTAGCTCGGGGTTGTGCAGCTGCTCCCTGAGTGTGTGTGTGTGTGTGTGTGTGTCTTCTGTCTCTTTCACGCGCGAAGTGTATGCTGCTTGTGTGTGCGAGAGTCGCGTGTGCGCCGCGCGTTGACGTTGCCGTAGACAAGAAGGTGCTTCGTTTATTTTGCCTTTTCTCTCGCAAAAAGCTAGCAACAGTCGCAGCGGACTCTTGCGCTCCGCGGCGTTTGCAATGAGTGACCATGGCTGCATACACTTGAATAATTTCAAGGCAGCCAAGGGCATACAGCCCTACAAGGTCATACATTCGTTCTTCGTGAGCAGCACGTCGAACGAGGCTCGAATACGCAAGGTAAGTCAGAGATGCGCCTGCGACAGCTGAAATATTTCTTAAACGTTATGGTTCCCGTTAGGCGATCAGTTGCATTTGCCACATGTGCAAGACCTACAAGGACAGGCTACACTCGTGCCTGCATTGCATCTTCTTCGGTTGCTACAACAAAGGACACATCCAGGAACATGCCAAGACCAAGAAGCACTTTCTCGCGGTGGATCTGTGCTACGGCAACGTGCTGTGCTTCCAGTGTGGCGACTATGTGTACGATCGCGAATTACTCACCGTAGCCAAGGCCCAGCGCAGTGAGAGTGCCAAGAGCTTGAGCCTCGGCGAGTTTTACAGGGCATGGGAGCCTTCGGTGCACGAGGTTGAGCTGCTCAGGAAACATCCCAGGAGACGGAGGGTCGTGGAGAATTCGACCATTGGTGAGTGCGATTTAGTTTTATGCCAAAAGAAGTTGTTTTATTTATATACCGACGTAAATGACGCTTGAGTAGCTTGGTGGGCGGACGGCGAGCAGGAACTTTGAAGACCTAGTCATCTACAACTTCCGGGAATCGTGAGATTTCGGCTACGTTCGTTTCGGTGTGCCCCGTGGTTTCTCAAGGCTGCACGGAAAATTCTAGTTTTCCGAGACATTGCTCGGCGTCGCGTTGGAATCTTGCTGATTGATGTATATCGCGACGAAGCGTCAAGCTTTTGGCGTCGAGTTACGGAGCGACGAGATATTTTTTTTTTTCGATCAATTTTATTTTTGATAAATTTCCTTTAGCGTTTACTCTAGTAATCGAAGACGCCTTTATCATCAGCGTAAAAGATCTCGGCAATCCGCATTAGAATAAAAGCTTTAAAGCGACAAGACAACCGAAATAATGTTCTCCTTCCCCCTCCCCGTCCCCGTCCCCCTTCTCGAACTGTATTTGCAAGCGCGATGAAGAAACGGCGCAGCGCTCGTCGAACGAGCTCGCACTCGAATTGAAAATACAAAATAATCAACAGGTCTCCGTGGACTGATAAACTTGGGCAGCACATGCTTCATGAATTGCATCGTGCAGGCATTGATACACACTCCGTTGCTGCGCGATTACTTCCTGTCCGATCGTCATCAGTGCCCGCAGCCGAGTCGCTGCCTCGTGTGCGAAGTGTCGAGCCTGTTCCAAGAGTTTTACTCGGGAAACAAGGCGCCGCTGATCTTGCACAAGCTGCTGCACCTCATCTGGACGCACGCGCGACACCTGGCCGGCTACGAGCAGCAGGACGCCCACGAGTTTTTCATTGCCACACTCGACGTTCTGCACAGGCACTGTGAGCAGTACTCCCAGACGGCGCCGATAATCGTCAAGGACAACCCTCATCACTGCAACTGCATCATCGATCAGATCTTCACGGGTGGCTTGCAGAGCGACGTGGTGTGCCAGGCTTGCAAGTAAGTTCGACAACGGGGAGACTCGATTTTTCGGAGCACGCTAACCATAACTCGGTTCGCCAACGCAGCGGTGTTTCCACCACGATCGATCCGTTCTGGGACATCTCGCTGGACCTCGGCCCGACTGCCGGAAACGCAGGCATGGTGACGACGGACGGCTCCGGCGGCGGTGTACCCACGTCGCTGGTCGATTGCCTGGAACGATTCACGCGCGCCGAACATCTGGGCTCCTCGGCCAAAATCAAGTGCAACAATTGCCAGACTTACCAGGAGAGCACAAAGCAGCTCACCATGAAGCAGTTGCCCATCGTCGCCAGCTTTCATCTCAAGCGATTCGAGCACTCGTCCATCCAGGACAAGAAGATTTCCACTTTCATATCGTTCCCCGAGCAGCTCGACATGACACCTTTCATGTCGCACAGGAGGAACGGCAACAACAATAGTACAGCGCCCGACGGTTTGCACAAAAATGGCGAGGATTCTACCTTCATGGATAACAGGTACAAGGTTGTTGGTCTTTTGCTATTCCCGACAGTGCTTTTCAAAACTCGACGTTCCTTCCACAGATATTCCTTGTTTGCTGTAATTAATCATGAGGGCTCCCTCGAAACTGGACACTACACTGCTTTCGTTCGTCAGCAACGAGACCAATGGTTCAAGTGCGACGATCACCTCATTACCAGGGCTCGATTGAAAGATGTTTTGACTAGTGAAGGGTATATTGCAAAACTAATTATTGTTAGATTGACTGTGCGTATTTCTTTAAGTCTAATTCCCTGTTTTTATTTTTTCAGGTATTTACTCTTTTACCATAAGCAAATCCTAGAGTATGGCCGAAACACTAAAGCGTGAAAAAGTCTGATATGTGATTAAAACTACTCGACTACGATGAAAAAAAAAACAAAAAAAAAACAATTCCGATTTTTTATAAATTTAGCGATTAAGTTTTGCCGATATGTTGTCACCATATTAAATTTTTTCTGTGTATTTTAGCAGATGAACTTTAATAAGATACACGAGGGAGAGAGATAAAGAAAAATGAAAGAACTGCTGAATAACTATAGGGAAAATAAAATGAATACGAAACCTGGAGTTATTTTATATAAATCATGTTTGACTATGTGTGCGAAAAATAGTGAAGGAAATTATTTGCTACACAATTAGATAAGTTTTTATATAGCCTAGGTTACGAATTTTTCAAGATATATATGCGAATTTTTCTATGAATTGCCGGTGTGAATTTGTGATTTGACATTTACCTTTTTTTGTGTTTATGTCATATTGTTTTTTTAATGTAATAAAACATTCACAATTATACATATTTAGTTGATAGATTTAGATATTTCAATTAACTAGGGGAAATTTATTATTAGTTAATGTTCTATGTGATTCTTGTTACGTAAGAATTTCCTGTTTTGCAGGGTGACATATTTCATTTGTCGGAACTGATTTTAAATTAACTGGGTAAAGAATTTGTCAGAATGCGACGTTTACTATAGTAATCATGAAACTTTCACTAATGTAAATTAATTTTAAAGCGATAATTTTTTTTTTGTTTTGACATACTCATTCTTGCAATGCGAGAAGATAATAGAAATCTTACATATTAACGCGTGAATTATCAATGTGAATTTATTTACGATATTCACAAAAGTACGTTATTGTAATATGAACAAAGCCCTTTAAATGAATCGAAAAGGAAAAAATTGAAGACAAAACGGGTTGAAAAATATAGCTACTCTTGTAATATTTTATATAAAGTTGACAAGAGAATGGAAAATAAAAAATATATACGTATATTTAAATTTTCTATTTATTTCTTTGTTCTACTCACTGGTTCTTTTTTAATATCATAGATAATCAAATTTATGGCTTGAAAAACTATTTTTATTTTTACTATTATATTTGAAGTAGATTGTTTTATTTATATAATAAATATGATGATTATATACAGAGATATTTTGCTATTGAAATAATAAATACTGAAATCCAGTTATAACGAACTTGAAAGGATTTGGTTAAATTCATTATAAATTATATTTAAAATATATTAGCATGAAGTAACTAGCTTGAAAATTTGTTCAATATAACTAAGTTTTTGTAGTTGGCACTGTACCAAGTTTGAAATACAAAAATTAGTAAATCACATTCAAATTTGATAAACAAACTTATCTTATCCTCATTCTAAAATACCACATTGATGCTTTCAGAAATATATCATTTTATTTACCTATACATACATAAATACATAAACCCATACATAAGTGTTTATTTTTAGCTTATTCATATTAGCTTCATGCTCCAACGTCTTATCGTCCTCATCGTTATTACAAGTTTATTGTACTCTTTGCCTTTTGTAGTAGGCAAAGAGTACACATCTTTGTAGTTTTATCTGATTCACCGTTATTTTTGAATACATGTTTTCCATCAAGCTCGATCACATCCTCAGTTTTTATCATAGAGTTGTCTCTTAGAGATCTCACGTTTTTATATATATTTCTAGTCATGTGTTTTATAAATACATTTATTTGTCTTTTTATTTTCAATACTCAATTCCACTAAATTATCGCTATATTCATATTTTAATGACATATTATAGGATAACGTCATAATCCTTAAACTCGAATTACTGCCGGTATGTCCAATGGATCGTGGACCGATTCGCCTAAATAATTAGGCTCTTCTTCTATGCCACTTGCACGTCTCTCTAATTCATTTAGATTCTCGCGCTCGCGTTCGAATGCCTCCTCTTCAGCAATGTAGATATTTGTATCATCTTCAAGCATTTTAAGTTGATCGTCTATCATTTGTTGATCCTTGGTTTCGTCCAAAATTTCTTTGTATTCCTCGTCCATTTCCCTGGCCTCTTCCACTAATCCATCATCCGTATTTATTTGATATACATGCTCAAGTGCAATTCCATCCCTGGCACTTACAGTAGCTTCACCAAATAAAGTGTACATATCTTTGAATATGTTTTTAGACATGTCGATTATGAACAGGAAGTTGACGATTCTGCTGAGAGTCTCGTCAAGGTGATCTTTCATGTCTTTTGGTACTCCTATAGCATCAAGGGCATTTAACACATCTTTCTTAATATTCACTGCTATTTTCGTCAAGTTTTGATCCATTAGTCTAAACCATTGTATCTCCTTGGCGCAGAAAGCCTGTATGACAAACATCGAATGCGTTATTGGAAAGTAAATAAGTACGTTGACGACATTGATGAGCTCACGATTAATATATGCGCGGAATGTGAGTTATAGGGATACGATAGAAGTGGAAAGAAAATTTTGAAGGCATTTGAATGGGAAGGAAAGCGCAGCTGATCGCTTTCTTTGCTGAGCTCTGCAAATAGCCCAAAAGTTTTCTGCCTATCTATGTTTATTATAAGGCAGACCTCCAGCACTGTCCTATGCAGTAGTTATAGCCAAGCGGGCCACCGTTCGGGCATCGGCTTACGCAGATTAGCATAGAGATTAGCCGTGAAAGCGACTACCTGCGTTTCTTTTCCGTCAAGGTAACGAATTTCAGTGCATAAATTTTTAAATTATTCACGCTGTATAATGAAATTATATTCTTGCACAGATGTAAACTTTCGACGATAAAATTAGGATATTAGAATTGACAGTTGATGTATTAATAATAATTTGATTGAACAATCATACCAGGCGGGCCGTTTCGTCTGAGAAGTTGTAAATTTTGCTTGCATCATTGTGATATCTATCTAGTGCCTCTTTAACCTTTCTCTCAAAATCTCTGTACTCAGTTGCTACGTGATCCTCATTTAGATTATTTGATTTTTTGAAATGCTTGTATTCATTATAATGTTTCTCGAACAATTGCTGTACCTTTTCCGTTGTATTTCGGTACCATTGCAGCTTTTTATCACAAGCGATCTACAAATTTTTGTAAAATTATTGTAAATTCATTCACGTACTCGATAACGGATATTGTAAAATACGGTTACCGCTTTGTCCTTATATAATTCATCTGCTGTGGTGACTGGCTCAAAAGGGAATGCCTAAAATAAGTTGAAATTAACATACTTGAGAAGCTAATATTTTGGACGTAGAAAATTACATCACCATTTTTTTTTATACAAACCATAGCACAGCTCGACAAGGCTCAATGATTTTTTAATTGACAACCGTATTTTATCCAATTTTGAATTTGAAAGGCACTTAACGTAGCATGAAAGATTATATCAGAGAAATTAAATGCGGCTTTTCAATGCTAAATACATTTTTATTTAAAATTTGGCTCGATCAATCGAAGGGTTCCAAGCAATAAGGCGCTTATAATTTTTTATTTCTGATAACATTTTTTAGTGGAATGCCTCAAAATAAAAAAGATATACTTTCATATATTCTATAACACATTATTTTAACAATTTAGTTTTTCATCTTTCTTTATACTCAACTGCACAAAATTTTCTACAAAGACTCATATTGCAGAAGTCCTTAAATAATTATTATCAGTTTCGGTAACTCAAATACCTTGCTTTTACGATCCGTGATATCTTTCTAAATGTGCCTAAATTATAGCAAGCGATATCGTTAAATAATAAATTATTATTACCTGTATTACATTTATACTCAAAAGTCCACAAATAAATAGTTTGAAAATCATTTTCATTTTCAATTTTTGGATTGGTAAATCATTAAAAAAACTGTACCGACGAACAAGTAGAATAGAATATATACTAAAATTATCGTGACAAGATCATTATGACAAAACATAAAACTCATTTTCCTCCTTAATACACGTACTGTTCTCCATGACCAGTTTCAATATACACTAGATGAATTGCAATTCACACTAGAAGCGTCAAGTGATTTTATTGAAACAAATTGTGAAGATATGTTGTGTATGCCAACATGTTACTTTTCAATTTTTATCATATTTGAGTTGAGAACCTTAATTATTAACTTAGTTGGAATGATAGGATGATTTGAGACATAAGAAATAGCAACAAAATTTATTTTTAATGACTGACGTCATTATAACTTTCCAGTTCTGGCCACCGACAATAACTTTTATTGCCCAAGCAGTAGTTACAATTTCATATTTTTACGTCTTAGCAGTAGTCATAAACTTATTTTTTTAATCGTAACTAACGGTGTTCAAAGACATCCATTTTGACAGCGAAATCCACAATCTGCGAATTAATATCTAATTTAAAATCTAATAGGAATCACGTTCATTTATTAAATGAGCCGTCAAACGTGCGACGGCAAATAGACTATCTTCCAGTAATTAGATTACAAGGAAATGACATTTATAATTTTATAGGTGTGAAAATAAATATTTTATAATATTTACTAACAATAATGCACTTAATACAATATAAATCATATTCCACGTTTAAGTTTAACAAATTAATCTTTAAAATTTGAGCGTGATTTATTATTATTTTTTTAGATCGAACAACAACAGCTCCAATAATCACTTTTAATAATATGTAATTTTTATTGATATATTTATTATCCGTTTTCTTTTCACATTAAAATCCACTGTATATGAGCTATTATAACAGTTGAGTGTTTTACGTTATCATTCTTAAGCTCGAATTACTGCCGGTATTTCAAAATCAAAAAGGTCTTCGGCAGCCTCGGACTCAGCAGCACCTTCAGCTTCGATTTCACGTTCTTCAGCATCTTTTAATTGCTCGCTCTCTTCTTCCATTTTTATCCGCTCTTCAGCAGCGTGTATTCTTGTATCATCCTCAAGATTGGCGACATCGTCATTCAACATTCTGTCTTCTTCGGTGTCTTCCAAAACCTCTCTGTATTCTTCGTCTATTTCTTTGGCCTCTTCCACTGGTTGATCATTCGTTTCTAATGGATTCGACTTCTGAAGCGGAATCCCCTGAACAGTTTTTACCAAAGCTCTGGTTGCTAAAGAGTTCACATCTAATAATAAATTTTTAGCAATATCGATTATGAACAGGAAGTTGACAATCCTGCTGAGATTCTGGTCAAATTTATCTCTCGTTTCTTTTGATACTCCTACGGTGTCAAGGACATGTAACACATTGGTCTTAATATTCGTTGCCATTTTCGTCAAGTTTTGATCCATCAGTCTAAACCATTGTATCTCCTTGGCGCAAAAAACCTGTACGACAAACATCAAACGTGTTATTAAAATGTGAATAACGACGTTGACCACATTAATGAATCCACCACGATTAATGTGTGTGTGTGTGTGTGTGTGTGTATGATCGTACCATACATATGCAGGAACATAAAGCTATGACTAACGACAATACAAGTAGAAAAATATCATAAATTTTCATCATCCGATTATTCAATTCTTAGCTGTAATGATTAACGACACATAAATAAGTTCACGAGCGCATCTGAATTGGAAAGGAAAGCGCAGCTGGTTTCTCTCTGAGCTAAGCTTTGGAAATATCCGTCTTGTCTTGCTTTCCAGTGTTTATAGGGCGTAGCGACAGCAGCGCTCAACAATAAACGCTAAGCAGGACACTATTAGGGCATCGACTATCCCTCATTAGAGCAGACCTTAGCCGTGAAAGTGACCACTTGCGTTTTCTTTTCTGTCAAGGTAACGAATTTCAGTACATTCGAAAATTTTTAAATTATTTACGTTGTATAATAAAATTATATTCTCGCACGCATGTAAACTTTCGACGATAAAATTAGGAAATTAGAATTAAAGTTGCCGATGGTAATAATTTAATTAAACAGTCGTACCATGTGAGTAGCCTCATCTCTAATGTAGCACAGTTTCTTTATATCTTTATGGTATCTATCTAATGCCTCTGTAACCTTTTCCTCAAAATCTCTGTACTCAACCGTTAAGTTACCCTCATTTAAATTATTTGTTTTCTTGAAATTCTTGTACTCATTATAATGTTTCTCAAATAATTCTTGTATTTTTTCCGTCGTATTTCTGTACCATGACAACTTTTTATCACATTTGCTCTAAAAATTTTTTTAAAATTATTTGAAATGTTATAAATATTTCATTCATACTCAATAAAAGATATTGTAAAATACGGTTACCGCTTTGTCCTGATATAATTCATCTGCTGTGGTGACTGGCTCAAGAGGGAATGCCTAGAATAAGTTGAAATTAAGATACTTGAGAAGTTGATATTTTGTACGTACAAAATTACATCAATATTTTTTTTTGCACAAAGTATAGCACAGGTCGGCAAGATTCAATGCTTTTTTAATTGACAATCGTATTTTATCTAATTTTGAATTTGAAAGTCACTCAACGTAGCGTGAAATATTATATCAGAGAAATTAAAAGCGACTTTTTAATGCTAAATTCATTTTTATTTAAAATTTGCTTCAGTTAATAGAAGGATTCCAAGCAATAAGGAGCTTAGCATTTTTGATTTCTGATAACATTTTTTAGTGGAATGCTTCAAACTAAAAAAGATATACTTTCATATATTCTATAACATATTATTTTAACAATTTAGTTTTTCAACTTTCTTTATACTCAACTGCAATACGCACAAAATTGTCTACAAAGACTTATATTGCATAGAGCTCTTAAATAATGATTATCACTTTCGGTAACTCAAATACGTGATCCGTATATCTTTTTCAATGTGCATTAATTATAGCAAACGATGTCGGTAATAATAAATTATGATTACCTGTATTACAGTTGTACTCAAAAGCCCACAAATAAACAGTTTGAATACCATTTGCATTTTCAATTTGTAGACTGAAAAATCATTAAGACACTTCTGTCGATTGAGTAGAATAAATACTAATATTATCGTGACAAGATTTTTACGACAAACCATAAAACTTATTTTCCTCCTTATTACACGTGCTGTTCTCCGTGACTAGTTCATTAGATGAATTACAATTGGTACTAGAAGCAACGAGTGATTTTATTGAAACAAATTTTAAAGATGTGTTGTGCACGCCAACATATCGCTTTTCAATTCGGATCATAGTTGAGTCGAGTACCTGAATTATTCGAATAGATCCAATGACATGATGGCTTAGCAATAAGAAATGACAACATTGATTATATTTAATGATTGATATCATTGTAACTTTCCCGTTCTGGTCACTGACTATAAATTTTATTGCTTGGAGCAACAGTTACAATTTTATATTTTATGTTTAAATACGTGATACTTAATAGCAAAATTCATAATCTAAAAATTGGAATCAAGTTCAAAATCTACTAGGAATGAATGGACTTTTAAATTGGTTATCACGTATTCGACTATAAATAAATTGTCTTCTAGTAATTACATTGAAACAGAATAACGTTAGTAATTATTATGAGTTTGAGCAGAAATACCTTATAATATCCACAGACAACAATGCGCTCAATGCAACGAGAATAGTACTCCAAGTTTGAGAATTCAATTAACTTATCATTAAACTTTAAATTTAATTTTTTATTATTTAGCTAGATTGTAATATGATCATACAATAACAGCTCCAATAATTACTTTCATCAATACGTAATTTTTATAGATATATTTATTATCCCTCTTCTTTTTCACACTAAAGTCTACTGAATTTGAGCTATTTTAACAGTTGAATGCCATTCATTAAGATATTATTGTCATCATCTGTCGATTGAAGTACTAGCCGGGAAATCTCTTAATTTCAAAACTCTTCGATTTTTCTAGGGGTCTTTTGAATTCATGAGGTTCTTCCTTTGGTTTTTCAAAAATATTGTCATCTTCAATACCATTTCCTAGAACCTCTTCTTCATTTATATTCCACTCTTCATTATCTGCTACTCGACTTTTTGCCTTGGTGATCCTTTCTTCATCTGCAAGCTCGTTGATCTCATTATTCAACATTATTTCGTTCTTAGACTCGAAAACTTCTCTGTAATTTTCATCAATTTCTTTGGCCTTTTCTATTACTTCACCATCAGGATTAACTTTATAAATTTTTTCCAATGAAATTCCGGCCTCAGTTACCACACGAACTTCATCAAATAAAGACCTGACATCTTTGAATATATTTTTACTCATGTCGATTATAAACAGAAAGTTGACGATCCTGCCGAGAGTCTCGTCTAAGGAATCTCTCGTTTCTTTTGATACTCCTAGAACGTCGAGGACATTTAACACATCGGTTTTTATATTTGTTCCCATGCGCGTCAAGTTTTGATCTAATACTTTGAACCAATTGATTTCCTTCTGACAAAAAACCTATATAACAGAACACCAACTATTTCGTTAAAATTATAGTATTGATGTAGAGTTTAACAGGATATTGGAATGTATTAAAGAATTAAAAATAGATTAGAGGTCACAGTTACTATTTGTCATAATTTAATTAAACAATCATACCAAGCGGGCTGAGTCGTCTGATATCTTGTAAATTTTCTCTGAATCTGTTTCGTACCTATGCAATGCGTTCATAATCATCTCTTCATATTCGCTATGCATAGTTTCTATTTCACTCACATTTGGATTATTCGTCTTTTTGAAATTTTGGTACTCTTTATAATATTTACCGTACAAGTCTTGTAATTTTTTGGTTGTATCTCGGTACCATGTCAACTTTGCATCACACTTTTTCTAGAAATATTTTAATAATTATTTGAAACTAATTCTTGGATTGAATTAAAGAAACTAAGAGTATGGTTACTGCATTGGCGTAAGATGCGTCTCCTGGGCTTATTTTTTCAGTATCCGAATCTAAAGGAAAGGCCTAAAATAATTTGTAATATATTTTAACACTTGTAATATAATTGATGTTAATTTTTTTAACGTATCGATAACTATTTTGCAGATCTTATTTCAAGATGCTCAAATTGGTCAAAAAATTATATTGCAAAATTTAATAACAATACCTGAGCACTGTTCTAATAACTATTTAACGTCATGCAACATAATTTTTTGCTTTGTAAACGAGTATCGCAAAATATATAATAACTATGTTTTGTTTCCTTTTATTTTAGATAACTATTATTGATTTTTGAAAAAATCGAAAATTATAGCTGGCAAATGTATTATTAATTTATTACCTGTACTGTAGCAAAAACCAAAAATCGGAAAAAAAATAGTTGTAATATCATTTTTCTGGTTACAAGAGTTAATTATTTATACTAATGATCAAGTACAATTGAAGTCACATATATATTAAAATAATCGTGACAGAACTTTTTATTGTTTATGGTAATGCATAAAACTTATTTTCCTTACAGCGATTCTCGTCTGAATGATAGTTTTCAAATTCTAGTAATCCAATTTGTCTGAAAGATTAGAGCCGAAACTTTCTACTTTATCAGCAAATCTCAATGTATTCATAAATTGAAAATTAAAAGTAAAATGTAATGTTTACTGTACATGACTACAGTATCGCTCTGGTTCCACTTTATTCTTGGACATTATTTAATTATTAACGTAAATTATTTAATTATAAACAAAGTAATATGCAACGTGACACAGACCTGGCAAAAACTTTTCATTCTCATGCAATATTGTTCCGGGATCGTTTTTGAAATTATTTATGCAATCTATTATCGATTTATTATTTTTAAACATCACAATAATTTATAAATATTAACATGTCCTCCTGATACTCCTGATGTCCGCGACGACGCCATTTTACTTAACGACGTCACAACTGAAAAAAGTTTTATATACAGTAATAAAATATTTATTTTTTATTGAATAGTGTTTTTATTGGCTTATAAAATTTATATATTGCTATCGTGTATATTTATTCTGCCACTTGCAAGAAATGAACCGTCATCTACACGTGACCTCTACGAGGATAACAGATTTTATTATAACGTATATATAACAATTTGTTAGAGGATGATCGACAGGATTATAAGACTGAGCTCAAGATCTGAATGGTGAAAGCGATGGTGCTCGTCAAGGCAACGCTGCATTCAAAAACCGGTATAACCTCCACGGCCTCACCGATGCTAGTTTCGGCAACCGCGACCTCGGTGCTCTTGAAAACTTTGGCAAGCTTGGTCGTCTGAGTAACTCAGGCCGCTTGCACGACTTTAACCACCGCTTGAGTTGGATCGTATCTAGCGGAGTACAGATGCTCCAAAAACTTGGACAGCTGCGCGCTCGCTTTTCCTAATCTCCTGTTGATCTATTCAGCTCCGACTCTTCGTTGATCCTGTCCACGTTGGACTGATGATTTTCCCGAAAATTTGCGGGTATCCAGCTGTGCACAGCGCTATTGTGGAGCCAGTTCCTGAACGTTGTCAGATCGTGACCGATGCACGTGGCTGTATCGACCAGGAAAAATATTTTCACGCATCTTTTTAACCTTTGTTCTTTCCTCCTTTTCCAATGGCAAACCTACGCAGTCTAGTACTTTCCTTAGTTCGTTTTTCATAGCTTGGTCAATTTAACCAACTTAATGTTGCGTGATAGCGACCACTTATACTTGCGACGAGGCATCTAAAAAACCCAAATTGTAATTAAAAATTTTTAATACTTTAGCGTAATGGTACTAACCATACGAGTTAGTGTCACGCTCGTGTTGTAAAGCCTGAATATTAGTTGTGTATTTGAATAATTCTTCAGAAATAATTTGTTCTGAGTATCTGGAATGCAATTTTAACTAACTTATGAGATTGGTGTCTATATTTTGTTGTTTCAGCCTTTCGTGATATTCCTCATAATTTCTCTTTGGTTGTTTTATAACAGACTTGTAAAAAGCTTTATTTCACAAGATAGCAGACATTTTTCGAGCATAAAGAAACACAAATCATGTAATTTCCATCAGAGATTGTAGCTATTTTTTTATTTCGATGTAAAGCATCTGGAAATTTAAATGCCTATAACTATTGGGGAAAAGAAAAATTTCTGATTTTGTTTAAGCGGAACGAGCAAAATTATAATTATTATATTTATTTTACTAAATATATTTGGTGTGTGTGTATATATATATATATATATATATATATATATACATATACATATACATATGTATATGTATATATTGTGTGTGTATATATATATACACACATGTACCAAAAAATATAGTGACGTGACGAGTTTAATTGTAAATTTGCGTGAATATTTTCAATAGAAAACGTGAGTTAAGCTAGGTAAGAACATTTTTAATATAATTATAATTGCAATGAATATGCAGATTGACCATGATCGAATCTGACGATACTGAAATTCAAGAGAACATTTATTGAATGCGTCAATAAGATTTCTATTTTATAAATATTGTGTATTATAAATCGTGCTATAGGCAACATAGAATTTTTATTAACCTTTCATTTTTCAAATAACTATTAGTCGATTAGTCGTTTTAATATAGCTCTAGAAAGTTTCCTTACTTAAAAATAGTTGTCGTATCTTATCGGTATTTTTTTATTTTTAATTCTATGAATTCTATACGACTCGAGATTGAAAATTTAGCTCATAATCTTAATCAGGATTATGTCAATTATATTTTTCAATCGGAAGCAATAATCATAAAGCATCAGTTCGCATGTTTTCTACTTTATTTCTCAAATGATTGATGATTTCAAGCATTCTCGAATGGTTGCAAAATTTTCGAACGTGTATTATTCATTTGCTTAGCATATTACAAACATATATGCAAGACTAATGTCATAAAAATTGATGAAAATCTTGCATAAGATTGAGATTGGACCCAAACCAAGACTAAACCTATCTGTATCAATAACCGCGAGTTATAGGAAAAATTTAATACTTAATTTAAAAATACAAAAATTCATATTATATGTATATATGTATTTCAACTTTAATTTTGCCGCCTCACTCAGTCGATAATTTAGTTACGTCCCGTTGCCGGTAGGCGGCGGGTATTTCACGCGCATTCACACACGTCATACACAGGCATACACATATTTCAATCTACATAATGGGGGCGAAAAGAAATTTCTTGATGTTTCTGTTATTGTTGATCAAAATATCATTTAAAAACCACTGCGTGAATATTCTCATAATTAAATTTAATATCGTATAAGAGGTCAAATATTCATTGGCAAATCGGATTACATTATGATTATTACATTTGGTTTCAAAATGCGGGGCGACGGTACGTTCATACAATTTGAAATATGTGTCAGTTATTTTTCTATATTTTTAATACATCTTTAGACTTCGCTGAAGTAAGATTCACCTTTTAAAGTTTTTTTTGTTCACGCTGCCGATAATTAAATTATAGCCTATGTGATCTTGAAAACGTTTACCTACACTGTGCTACAATGGCATTATGGATACACCGACCGGTAAATATTGCGTTTTCTTCGTCTATTGCGTGCCGAACGTGAAAATATGACCTAGAATTTGACTTTCTCAGGGAAGATTAAAATAATGTGGACGCCGATCGATAAGTCAATCAAATTATTTCGTTGATACAGCGCATGTCAAACAGCTGAAGTTAATTTCAATGAAATACTTGTTACATTAATACGTGTGCGCAAATTACCATAATTCGCTGGCTAAAATAAAGGAGAGATGTATGAGGATAAAAAGAAATTTATTCGATTTTAGCCCAACTACTTATCGTGCAGTCTTTGATACTATAAGCACCTTTCACAGCACATAGCATTGTGGAATGAAATTTTTTGACAACTTCGAAGCTGTTGTCATACATTGATTTTATTCCTTCGTGACGTCTTCTTTGCCGATCTCTCTCGGCGTTGACGACAACGACGATCGCCGCGAAGTAATGGCTGCGTGGCCCTTCCGAAGAATTTGAACACGATGATTTCTATGAGGAAAGCAGTCACGGTGGCGACGATACCTATAATCCAAATGACTATGATCGGCCAGACCTCCTTGAACGTAATCACGCTGGGCTGTACATTGGACAACTCGGCGTACTTTCGGAAGTACTTCGTCCTCAGGCGATGTAGAATCCCGTGATCCATCAAGCGCAGAATGCTGAAACGTAAGTTGAAAGCGGTAGTGGGCTCGCCCACACTGGCGGCGGCTTGTTAACGGCTCACTTGTAATTGACAGCCCTCTTGTACGGACTGTTTTTCGTCATGACAAAGGACAAGTACTCGACCAGCTCCATGCTCACGGCGCCGAGTTTGCAGGGCAGAAAGTTTTGCATGCTGTCGTACTTCACGTCGTCCGTGTAGAAAGCCGTCTTCTCCGCGCAAGCCTGCAACACGAGCATCGGGATTATTATTCGCCAGGCTTATCGAAGGCGACTCGGCATACGCGTTCGGCGTTACTTGCTGAAAGCCCTCGTAGGCGTAGTTGGGCAGGCAGCAGCTCTTCCTCAAGCGCGCCTGCAGCGGCGTTAGCTTTGAGCCGTTCGACAGCTGCAACACGAGATAGCTTAGCGAGGGCCAGCATTGGCTCCGGCTGAACTCACGATAAAGCTGTGATCCCTGCTGCCTTGGATGAGAATCAAGTCGTAGCTGTCGTCGCGCAAGAATTCTCCGAAAGTGGAGAAGGGCAGCTCGGGAGACAGCACGGCGATGTAGCTGGTTATGGACGCCGAATAGATCACGTTCAATATTGTCGAGGTGAAGAATGTCGAGAAGTAGATGATTTTGATGGAGATGCTCGACGACTCGTCATCTGATTGTTCGAAAGCAAAGGGGATTAGACAGGCGGGACGTAGGACGAAGAGACGATGTACCCACCGCTGGGACTCTGCAAACTGAAGATGCCCCAGATCTTGATGAAATCTTCTGAGAACGACTGAATGAAAGCGCGTTGAAATCCATTCTTGATAAGGTGCACGAGGAAGGAGAATATCAAAATTGACGCCCCTATCGCGGTCCAGGCATCCTTGTCGAACACCTGCTTGGCTCACGAACAGCGTGAGCGAAACGCTCGTTTTCCTGGCATCGCCGACGAGGAGAATCATACCTGGAAGTAGGTGATCCAGCGAACTTCGGTGTTGTCAGGCAGCCTGGCGTACAGATTGCAGCGTCCCTTCGCGAGGGGAATCGCGTAGTCGACGGCTGTCATGCGGGTAGAGGACATGGTGAACAGTGCCACGCCGACGTCTGCCACATTGTCGTTCATGATCTTCATCATGCCATACCACTTGTTGGTTTTCGTGTGCAAGTAGCCCAGCTCGTTGCTCACCGCCACTATCTCCGGGTTGAAGTGCGACAGACTCGCTATTTCGTCCATTATTTCGAAATTGAAGTTGGCGATGTTCGCGTCGACGCCGTTCGTTAGAATACTGCGATTCACCTTGGAAACGAATTACTGTTGTTAGATCGTAAACCCGCGAACTACTTGCTTACCTTGGCCGCTACTCGCAGCGTGATTCCTTTCAAATCCGAGTGGGTCCTGATGTAGCTCCCATAGTTCTTGAACTCCAGCTGGAGCTTATCCGGTGTCCACGCGGCTATATCCATAATTTCGATGTGATTGTCAAAAATGCCGTGGTAGCTCTTCAACACTGAACTTCCCTCGCAAATCGCCGACATTCGCGTATCCATTTTCAACTTGAAAAAGTTGTCTTTGTCGGGATTGTCGCAATCGAATCGCGCGCTCTTGTTAATGTAAAGCAGCCACGGGTGGGCCGACATGTCGGTGTTCTTCGTCGCGTTGATTGCGTGTTCCAAATTCTCCCTGTTATATATGATGAGTGAATAGACTGTGTTCTCACGGCGATTCGACAATCGTTCTAAATCCTTGATTCTTATCGCCTGCGACATCACGTCTCTCTTCGAATGGCTCTTCATTAGTTGTAGCAGAATTCTTTGCCTATTAAAATCTAAAAATTTCGAGTTGAAGTTATAAAAACTAGTTGTTATAGCAAAGCAACAATTTGGAAAGTACTCGCAAGAGTACTGTTGTTCTTACTGAGCTCGTGTCTATCGAAAACGATGTAGGTGCTTGAAGATAAATAGAATTTTTGCAGATCATGAGCCAAAGTCAAAAATTGATCGAAGGATCCTTGAATTTCGATAATTCTGTAAATAATCAATAAAAAGCAAACGACTTTCCACGTACTGTTCATCGTTCCGAGCATTATTCTCGTATGAATGCAAAGTTATTGATATTGACGTAAAACATCGAATCGCCGATGTTCCAGGATAGACGGGTTTTGGTAGACCTATAGATTGCGATATTATTTTTCATCATAACCGATGTGTTTCGGAAATTAAAAGACAAAAAGAAATAGAATGAATGTTTTTCTGCAAGACCTGAGTGATTGGTTTTCCGTAAAAAATATGAAATTATCGTTCGTCATATTATTTCATCAAGTCTGATAGAACAGGTCCTTAATAAGTGAAGTGCAGACTGCTCTATTTTTGGAACACAGTGGTATCGTTTCAAATCGTTATTAATGATAAGCTACACATCTGCATTCAAATTAGTTATGCGATTGTTGTTGTATTCGAACGAAATTTCATAATTCACTGGCTTAATAAATGCGGTGATGTTCCACAGATCAACATTTTATGAAATAATTACAGTTGACCAATCGACTGATTGATTCGTAATTTTTAAATACTTTTACGTGATATGAACGTTGAAATATTTGTAGTAATTAATTGATATTTGCATCGATATCATAGTTATTGGTCGTAATTTTGCAGATTGTAAAAGGAAACACTATAGATCTACGGATAAGAATCGTTTCGTTCAGATACTTATTCTGCATGATTCGATAATGAAACTCATTATTCTTAATCTTGTACGCGCTTTCATCACATTCATCACTTTAATTTATCTTCGATGGCCCTACTATTAAATTCACAAATTCAAAATTTAATGATAATCGTTTAAAACTGTACTTCTCTCGTATATTGCCGACATTCGACTATCTATTCTCAATTTATATTTTTTCTATAACGTCGGCGGTGTCTTGGGTATATTTGTTAATGTCAATGTTCTATCAATGTTTGCAAATGATACTCATCATATTACAATCCATCAAGGATTCCATATTTAAACACCACGAAAAAACTTTTCGTACATGTACGTCATTTCTACCACGTTATTTATTATCAGAAGGTCAATAAAACAGTTTCTTCAAGCAATTTCGAGATCGCTCTAAGTGAAAACTTATCTGATTATAAAATTATCGATCGAAATGTCAATCGATGATAATTTTCTATCGCAATAGAAATGCTCGATGTAATTATTAAAATAAAATCTTACATGATACCAATCCAGAAAACATCGTCGCGGTATTGCTGAAATTATTGTCATTGCTCTGTATGCATCACGCAGGTAGAGCGTGAAACGAGTATTGAAAGTAGCTTTCGTTCGCAACGTCCGATTCTCTTAAGAAGTTGAAAACGTTGGACGCGAAGGTCGAATTGACGCGATATGTTGTCGTGTCCTCGACGCCTCGAAAGATACTCTGCGCAGACGCAGACGATGCGCGTTCATTAATTCTCTTTCCATGCGCATTTATCCATATTGATTTGGAAACTACTTTCATTGACGTCGGTGCGGGATGTAAAGGTAGCTCACGACCCCTATGTCGTGCAATACTCGCCTATAATAAATTTGTTTTGTTACGGATAAAAAATCGAGAGACGAACGCTTGAGTTTTAGGTATATTTTAGCTTCAGCTGACGTGGCTTGTTGTACATACAAATAATTCTCCTAGCTTTAGTCTGTTGCGAACTTTCTTTCGTGCTATGCTATAGCGAATAAACTGTACAGACCTTTTCAACTTACAGAGAAGTCCTAAACTCTTGAGATAATTACAGCGTAGAATCATGTCAATGTTTATTGTACTTTTACGTTATTGAAAGTATCTTATATGGACTATTGCCAGCTAGTTTAGACAACAAATTTTATTCGAAAAGAGTACGATTTTATCATTGAAACCTGCATTTGCAATCGAATATACGAAGTTCGTTCTCGAGAAACAAGGAAGATTGAGGAATCATCATGAGATAAAACATCAAGATATTCTCTTCTGATTTGGCCTCTCTTTATTTGAAGGTACGATTTTATCAATCACGTGCCAATATGGCAAGAGAATTACTACCTTACGTTTCCGAACTTCCTATTTTGTTGCGTGCGCGTTTTATGGTTCGTGGAGAGGGGAGGGACGACAATTTCGCTGTTTTACACATTCACTTAGGCTACCATCAATCAACGAAGACCACGATTATTCTACTTTTCGAACTTTTCAGCCCAGCCCATGCTCGTACCCTGTTTCACGCGGGGAAATATTAAGCTAGCGTCGTAGTAGTTCGATATTTAGAATGATAAGTGGTTGGCGAGCTTATACTTATAATAGTAAACGGCCAAACGCAGAATAACAAAACTTGAACGATTACTGTTGAAATTCATCGAACGTATATTCGCAGCTCTTGTTTATGCCATTGGCCAGCGGTTGTGTGCTTGGCTTGCAATTGGAAAACGTCGAAACGCAGCTTTCGCATTTTGCGCGAGTTGAACTCGAAAGTCAGATGTAAATTATTTTCAAACGTGTCACCGATTACAACGCTGTCGCGGGTGAAGCGCGGTTGCTGACTCGTCGTTTTCGCAACTGTATCCAACACGGCAACCTCCAAACTGAAAGGACGCGCATGTTTGCCGTCATCGTCTGTGCTCAAACTTCGCTTTTTTATTGGTAACATTGACTTTGATACGTTCTTTAGCAGTCGTTCGTCGTCGATAATGAAGTTTTACTCTGTTTTATAGTAATAAAAATTCAGCAAAGCTTATGAAATTTGAACGTAGATCGCATTATAGCAAAATCATTTGGAACTTACGTGTATGGCCTATTCGGAAGCTGCGTCACCGTGAATGCACGCGAGCAAATATATTTTCCAATGAAGAAACCGTGCGCGTATTGCATGATGCTTAAAAGAACCATGCTCTGAAATTGCTTCCGAATGACTGGAGAAGAAACTGGTTGACGGATGTTTCCGTAGATTTCAACAGACCCGCAGTTAAAGCATCAGACTGATCTGAATGGAGAAATCATTTATTTCGGCCGATCACTTAATAATCATAGCAAGCAAATGCACAATGATTTCCAGTAGCCAGATGAACAAAGCAACGACGGCACCGACGATCAGAATCGAGAGGATCGGCAATATTTCCTCGAAGCTGATCACGTTGGGATGCGTTTCGGGTATCTCGGTGAACTTGTAAAAGTGTTCGTTCCTCAGACGCATGAGTATCCCGTGCTCTCTCAGCCGGCAGATGCTGCAACGACGCAGGCGTCTCATGTACTCGGCGAACCGAGGGCGCCGGTCGCGCGCGATGTATCTACTCACAAGTGGCTGATGGCTCTGGTGTAGGGGCTGTTCTTCGTCAGTACGAAGGACATGTGCTCCGTGCGCTTCATGTCGACCGAGCCGAGCTTGCACGGTGGATTGGTGATGCCGTCGAACGTCACCTCGTCGGAATAGAAGACCGTGTTGGGCTCGCAGGCCTGCAACGATTCGCCGAGACATCGATCACCGAACCGACGAGCGCGACGGGGCTGTCGACGGACCGTCCGCACGTACCTGACTGAAGCCCTCGTAAGGACTGAGGGCCCGGAAGCAGTGGTGTTTCAGGCGCGGCAGCAGCGGCGACAGCTGCTTGTCGGTGTTGTCCAGCTAGCGAAAGCAGCGCGATCAGTTTTCGTGCAACTTTAATGCCGGCGGCAACACTCACGAATAGATCCTCGTCTCTGCTCTCCTTCAGCACGGTGATCTTATAGTTAACGTCGCGCAGGAACTCCTCGTAGCTGGAGAACGGCATGTCGGCCGTCAGCTGGGTGATGTAGCTGGTGATAGAGGCCGAGTAAATGGCGTGGATGATGAGCGAGGAGTAGAGTATCGAGAAGCTGAGTATCTTGGAGGCCGCGTTCGACGGGTCCTCTGTGCGATTCACGAGAGCGCGTGTATTGAAATGCCAAACGGACCAGAGGTATCGGACTAACCTGCTAAGCCCTGCTGGCTGAAGATACCCCAGACGTTGGTGAACTGCTCGAAGAAGGACGACGGCGTAAGCGTGTGTAGGTTCATGGCGCAAAGCAGAGCGGAAAAGGCTAAGACCGACAAGCCGATCGCCGTCCACGTGTTGGCGTTGAAAGTCTGTAATAACGCAAGATCTCGCTCGTCACCCCGCGTCCGTAGTCGAGACGATTCTGCCTGGTCTCACTTGAAAGTACGCGTCCCAGCGAATCTGTTGCTTGTCCGGGAGCTTGGCGTACAGGTGGAAGCGCGCTCTCGCCAGCGGGATCGCAAAGTCGACCACGTTCATCCGCGAATTCGACAGACTAAATAACACCATGCCGATGTCGGCCTGCTTGTCCGTCATGATTCTCATCAGTCCCGACCAGTTGTTAGTGTTCCTGTTGAAACGTCCCATGCTCTTGTCTTGTCGAGTCACCTCACCGCGAAATTGTCCGTAGTGCTCGAGGTCCCTGACGACGTGCGCCACGAACTTGGAGGTGTTTTCGTTCAACGTGTCCTTGGGGTTGCTTCGCTGTAACGAGCGAGAACAATCGGATGAAATTCGCGGCGAAAGAGACCCTGCACGCGTGCGCTCACCTTGGCGAGTTTCAGTACTACTCCCGTCATGTTTGTCACCAAATCGAGGGACGAATTCTCGAACATGGACAGTTTTCCCGACGTCCACTGAGCTACGTCAACGACCTCGGTTCGATTGTCGAATATGGCGTAGTATTTCTTCAAGACCGAGTCGCCGTCGCACTTGGCCGTCATTTTGGCGTCCATCCTCAGCTTGAAAAAGTTCCTGCCCGGATTGTTGCAGTCCAAGTCCGAGCTATTCATCGACAACAGTAGCCACGGATGCAGCGACATGTCGATGTTCTTGGTCGCGTCGACTGCCAGCTGCAGACTCTTCGTGTCGTGGATTAAAAGAGCGTACAACGCGTTCTCTCGATACGTGGGCGTTTTAGCGAGATCATCGTAACCAATTGCTTGCGACATGGAGTATCGTCGAGACTTGGTCCTGACGGCTTCCATCAGAATCTTTTCTCGTTCAAAACCTGCGATCGATGAAATTCGATGGATAATTTATATTCGTATAAACAGACGATTGATGAGCGTGTTCTACCATAATGTCGTCGATTATAAACAATGAATATACTCGGCGACAGATAAAGGTTCCGCACATCTTCGATCAGCGTCGTGATCTCGCGGACAATCCCTTGAGTCGCAATCATGTGATGAACAGCAAAGAGAAGGCAGACAGCGGCTTTCGAGGGAATATCCATCGCTCGAAGCTTTATTTTTTGTACTGATGACACATCGAATTGACGCCATGCGAGTAAGCAAACACGCGATCGATCGCCGATAAGGCATTTCTTTTTTGTGCAGGGTAAACGTTTTTGATCGATGGCCGGATAGCGCAAATTGTGTCTTGTGTATCACTTCTTTTTTTTTGTCTGAAACATTCGTACACAAAAACATAACAACCACCTTTCACATTTGAAAAATCTGTATATTGAGTATTCACTCAAAGCTTGGTGTATTTCGCATATCATTGTCTTTTAGTCAATTTTTATTATAATATAATTGAATAAGTTCGATAGATTATTAAGAGAAAACTACTTACGCACAGAGCAAATGAACCGATGTTGGAATGAATTACTTCGAATGATTATTTTTGTCTAAAGTAGAAGCTATGCAGTATCAAATCGATTGTTCAAATTTTCAAAATAGGAGAAACTTGTTTCAGAATAATGGCAATTAATTTTGATTGAGCATGGGATTCATAACGCACTCTTGACGTGAAAGCTTCTGAACCACTGCGGAATAAACGACATTCGAATACTCAAATGATAGAGCGCAAAAATATTGACAATTGACCAAGTCCAATTCATTCTAATCTCACAGCCTAGTGCTTCCGAGGTGTGAAGTATGAAGATCTATTACACGCAAAACACTTTGTAAAACAATTGAAGTTCGGGTAATAATTATGAACGTTGCTAGGCAAAGTATAATTCAGACGTTGCGAATCAACAACTTTTCGATACATCCACGCATATTCTGGATGCCAGTCCGCATGTACCGCGCAAATATTGACTCGGCGAGACATTTGTCGCTCGACCTTCGATAGTGCCTTCACCTTATATATTTCGTAAATATGTCATTCGATACGTAGTCCTATGCATTTTCACCGTTAATAATGCGTACGAACGATTTTTATTTACTTCATGAAGATATGCTCTCGAAGTGAGACTGGCCTACGAATAATTCTTCTATTCGCCGACAGTGCTTTGCATCACCGAAGAGAAACTTTTGTAAAATTTTAAATTTACATGTTAAAAAATGGCATTTCACATTGAGCTCATCCTCCGTGCATTGAGAATGAGTTCAACGAGAATTGTAACATAGCTAGTAAACGTCGAGTGACAGGTTTGTTACCTCGTTGGCTACTTTTAGGGTGACCCCCTTTATATCTGTCTGCCCAACGAAACGCTTGGCGTCCTTGAACTCCGCCATTCGTATGGCCAAATCCACGACCTTCGTCTGCTTTGTCAACGATTGAATAGTATTTCTTCAGCTTGAAATTCCCTTTATCATAATCCCATTCATCAGATAAGATAGCTTGGGGCAAACTATCTTGCCGTGAACAAATCTTCATCATCTTTAATAATCTGATCTCCTTCTCTAAGCCTACAATTTCAATGTTTAAAAATATGAATATTAAAAAGCAATTCATCTACCGTGATAATGCTAATTTGAAGTGAATACGACTATATAGGTATTTGTCGTACCGTGGATGTGTCTATTGCACACCACAAATCACTCGATCAGCTGTATATTGTTCATTGATTGGCTCATTGATGGTTAAAGTTGTAAGATCATCGGTGCTCTCCTTAGCTTTGCAAGTTAAGAGTTAGTTATTTTCAGTACACTACGCGTCTCGGCGTGGAAACCTACTGAACGCTTCGGAACCCGAATCAATTTAGAATACGCGCGTTACCTCGATGATATAGTGCGAAAATTTCTAATCTCTGCCAAGTCTAATGCATTTTGACCATAAAAAGACGGCTGTAGTTTCGCCAAATGGTGCTTTCTAAGTGTGTCGTACAGAGAAATGGAATAGCAGGCAAGTGCATGATTATATTTTATTAATAATGTTTTTCACATTAGCAAACAAAACATATGCTACGCTCGTTCGCGCTTTGACATTTTATGGACTGCGAATATTCGTAGAACGATAAAAAGAAGGCAAATAAAATATGATTAATTCAGAGAACCACATAATTAACGTTACAACAACTCCGATGATCCACACGGAGAGAATTGGTAAAACCTCTTGAAAGTTTATGATGTTTGGCTCATTTCTGGGTATCTCGGTGTAGTTGTAAAAGTACTTATCTTTCAGTCTCTCTAGAATCCCGTGATCTCGTAGACGCTCGATGCTGAAACACGCGGATTGATCGAGTTAACTCGATGAAACTTTATTTCTTTCAGAAAATACAAAAGATTCAGTTGGGAAATTGATACTTGCAAGTAGCTGAGAGCCTTTGTGTAAGGGCTATTTTTCGTTAAAATCAGCGACACGTACTCAGCTCGTTTCATGTCAAGTCGGCCTAGTTGACAAGGCGCGCCGTATGTAATGCCATTAAACTGAACTTCGTCCGAATAAAATGCCGTCTTCGGTTCGCACGCCTGCATAAGATTCATTTCTTTTTTCGTAAATACAGAAAATTGAGGATTGAGTTGACTCGTCGCGTACCTGTTTAAATCCTTCGTAAGGGTCAATGGGTAGTTCGCAGGAATTTTTCAGTCGAGACTTTAAAGACTTCAAGTAGCCATACTGCAACTAGAAAGTATGACTCACGTAAGTTACAAACTCAATGACTGATTCTCGTGTTTTCAAAAAGTTGTCTAAAAATACTTACGATAAGGGTTTCATCCCGGGTATTCTTGGCTACAGTCACCTTATAGCTAACATCCGATTTGAAATCTTCGTAGGTCGCAAATGGCAAAGTAGGCGACAGGAGGGTGATGTAGCTGGTGATGGTGGCTGAGTAAATGGCGTTCAAAACCAGCGACGAGGTAAAAATTGAGAAATAAATTATCTGCATCGATGAATTCGTTGGAGTTTCTGCTCAAAGGTAAAAAAATTGCATTTAAAAAAGGAAAGAATATATTTTACCAACATGTTGAATACAACCTGCAAGTCCTTGTTGGCAATAAATGCCCAAGACATTGATGAAATTGCCGAAATAGGTGTGCACGAAATTGCCGTGGCACTCTCTCTTCATAAGGACCAATATGATGGAAACAATCAGGATTGAGAAGCCCACCGTTGCCCAAATGTACAAATCAAAGACCTGCGAAGACGAGTAGTAAATTCATCGTGATTCGAAATCGCTGGCCACAGACATTTACCTGAAAATAAGCGGCCCAGCGGACTTTTTTGTATTTCGGTAGCTTAGCGAACAGATAATAACGGGCCTTCGCGATCGGGGCAGCAAAGTCAACAGCCGAGAGCCTCGTTCTAGACATGCTGAATAAGAAATTTCCGATGTCGACTCTATTCTCGTGCACCACGTTTATCAAGCCTGACCAAAGCATAGTATTGTCGTCGCGGAAGCCCAAGCTCGCATCACGAACGGTGACTTCCGTTTTAAAATTGCCGAACGTCTCCAACTCCCTCATCAGCTGTGAAAGGAAATTGGTGAGGTGTATGTTCGCCGCCTCGATGTCGCAAGCTCGCTGAAAGAAAACGTTGATCTCGCAACGGGTTCCGAGGTGGTTGTTGAATCATTCGTACCCTGGCCACCTTCAACACGATCCCTCTCATATTCGTCTCCACTTCGTGCAAACTCTGGGAATCCTTGAACTTGAGTTTATTTTCCGGTGTCCACTCGGCCAAGTCAATCACTTCCGTTTGATCGGGGAAGACACTGTAGTACCTCTTTAAAACTTTGTTGTCCCAGCACTTGGCCACCATTTTCGTGTCCATTCGCATATTGAAAAAGCCCTTTCCGGGCTTGTTGCAGTCGAAAGTTGAGGATTTTGAAAATAATAACAGCCACGGATTGAATGACATCTCGACATTTCTGGTTGCGTTAATCGCCAACTGCAGATTTTTCCGATCTTGTATCAGCAGCGTATGTAAAACGTTGTCTCGGTGAGGGGGTTTCTGTCGCAGCTCGTTGTAGGTGATCGCTTGTGACATGGAATACTTACTTGAGAATATTTTTATTGCCTCGAATATTATTCGTTCAATATCAAAATCTGTTGACGTTCATTTTGCTAATAATTTTTTTTATAAAATGAATTCAAAATTCAAGTCAAACTCGTTGTCTCACCGGTTTTAGGCTTATTGTAAATAATAAATATACTCTTGGCCAAGTAGAACTTTTGCACGTTCTCTGTCAGAGTTGTAAAGTTAGTTATATCATCAAGCCCTTCAGCGAGTTTGAGTAGGATCAGGAAAAGGTGATATGATTTTAGCGATGTCCTCATTTTGTCCGCTATCCCTTTGTACGAAGGTGTAATATATCGAAACTACGCGAGAGAACAGGTGACTGGTTTATGTAATGCATTTTCGCCATTAAAAGTGCACGTAAACAACGTTATATTTTTTTTTACGATGGCATATTTTTTTATGACTAAAGTGAGGCTACATTGTTGTTTGTTCATAATTAATACGTATGCGCTAAGTTGTAACAGAACATAAGTAATCAATAGCAATTAATCTGTTAAAGAATATTCTTTTTAACAAAATCAACTTCATTCCTCTCGTGAAATATGTTATAAAAAAAGATCACGACATTTTTCGGTACAATGCCGTTCCATTGTTGAGATTTGATGTTGGAAAAACCATGGAGATAGGCATCTCAAACTGCTCCTCTAAAAATTATCGATAATTTATTTCATGCAAAACTTAATGATCGTTGCAATAATTTTCAACGAAAACATCTGCATTCTTTTTTAAGTCAGCTACTACAGACGAATCACAAGGTCGTAAAGATTCGAATGACAAAAACTGAGCTGTAACCTTGATAGCCACTTTTAGCCACTCTTAGTGATCATATCTGTCTGTACCTCAATAAAATGCTTCTCGTCCTTGAACTCGACTTTTTTTCTTCTCCGAGGTCCATGCAGCGAAATCCACAACGTCCGTCCGATAGTGTTTCTTCGATGCGTAGTCTTGCTTGCTACACTTGGCTGTCGTTTGACTGTCCAGTCTTAGGGTGCTCTTACATGCGAGCGGACAAACGTTCGAGCGGACAAGCGGACACCCAAAACTCATAAAATTTTGTCCGCTGGCGGACAGTTTTCCGTCCGCCAGCGGACACTGGCGGACAAAATTTTGTGCGCTAGCGGACAGAACTTTGTCCGCTGGCGCACGGAAAACTGTCCGCCGGCGGACGAACAAAGGGTTCTCCGTTGAAGGCTCCAGTATATTGGTATCTCAATAATTATCAATTGTTTTTTTTTTCAATAATGCCATTTGAAGCCATTCTCACGGCGTGCGGAAAGTAGCCTTCCACACGCGTTTATCGAGTTCTTTTTAGTACTTTTAGCTCTGCGGTTTGATAACTAATGATTTTAGCAGAAAAAGCTTCAGATAAAAGTTGTTCCTTATTATATTATCTACAAAAAAGTCAGTGAAGGCACTATTCTAAAATTATTATTTGACCAAAAAAATCACGAAAACCTGAAATGGTTTACAAAATTTCATGTTTTTTCTAAATTTGCAAGTAAACTAATGTATTTACAATAATGGCTACACTGACTTTTTTGTAGATAATATAATAAGGAACAACTTTTATCTGAAGCTTTTTCTGCTAAAATCATTAGTTATCAAACCGCAGAGCTAAAAGTACTAAAAAGAACTCGATAAACGCGTGTGGAAGGCTACTTTCCGCACGCCGTGAGAATGGCTTCAAATGGCATTATTGAAAAAAAAAACAATTGATAATTATTGAGATACCAATATACTGGAGCCTTCAACGGAGAACCCTTTGTTCGTCCGCCGGCGGACAGTTTTCCGTGCGCCAGCGGACAAAGTTCTGTCCGCTAGCGGACAAAAAATTTTCGATCGGCGGACAAAATTTTATGAGTTTTGGGTGTCCGCTTGTCCGCTCGAACGTTTGTCCGCTCGCATGTAAGAGCACCCTTAGCCGGAAAAAGTCTTTGACGCGTACCTTGCAGTTCAAGTCAGATTTCTTAGAGACGAGTCACCATGGATGGTCCGGCGTATAAGTGCTTTCTACCGCCTTTATCGAGGGCTCGAGGTTCTCTTTGTCTTGGGGCCAAGAAGACAGAGTGCGTTTTCACGAGAGATCAGATAGTCTCCGAATGAGACGGCTTGCAGCGAGTAACTCGTCGTTACCTCTAACTTGAAATATTGCCATTGCCTGTTTCGTTTGCAAAAAGACATAAATAATGCCAATCATGATTAGTGTGAAATTGATCGAGCGACACCACTTGAAGAAAATTACGATAGGAATTAATTTACGAAGCTACGGTGTTATGGAATCAAAAATCAATGAGAAATACGTTTTTTTCCAGTAAATGATTTTTTAGTTGCAGTTGCTGATGGGAAAGCTACTGAATTATTTTAGAAAAAAAATCAATTTAATACGTGTATTATCAGTCCACGCATTTCACGCTTCGCCAAGTCAAACGTATTTCAGGCGTAAAACTACCAATAAGTGCAGCGCAATGCACGCAGTAGCGCAAATCAATAACAAGTCGTACTCGAAGCAGCCAGCGAGAAAGTTCGCGGCGCGGAAAGGTCTTCCGCGTCGTCGACGCGCGCGCGCGCGCGTAAATAAACACGGAGGACGGAAATTACGAGAGGCAGTTTGCCACTTCCTCGCCGCGTGACGGCTAAACGCGAAGTCGCACGGGTCAATCGCCGCACGCCCGCGTACATCAGCAATTGACCTCAACTAAATAAACGACTGCAAGTCTTTTGTGCGCGATGTGTATCACGTCGGCCACAAAGTAACAAGTCAGTGTACGATTGAGATGACGATGGGAAGCATGCTTTTTGTTGTTGTGGCTGCGCTCGCCGCGATCCTCGTTCCTGGCCATGCCAGAACTATTCGTAAGTCGCAATTTTACTTTACGTATGTCGCATTTTTTTCCTTTTTGTTTATTGCCGGTGTCTTTGAAATTGTTTTCGTTCAACTTTTATCTTGACCGTGGTAGGCTGGAATGAGAATTATGCCAAATAATCCACTATTTACAGTAAAAAAAACTCAAGTTAAATTCAGTTGATATCGAACTTAATGTACTTAACATTTTTATTGTCGTAATCTAGAATTGCAGATTACACAACATTAAATATATTCCAATTTCTATGAGTAGTTTCTACGGGCAGATACGAAGAGTGCAAATTGCAATTATTATGAAACTAAAAACTAGAGATTTTCGAGAGGCGAATCACGGAGAATAGGTCCACGAGCGTATCAATACAATAAAGTGTGTTGAGTCGGACACAAGAGCCAAGCGACATACTTGCTAAACGACCCCATCGTGTATTCGGTGCTATTAATTTACGTCTTGATTAGTTGAAAGTCAAATCGTGACTTTTATATTTTTTACAACAGCGCGACGATTTTCATCCGTCGTTCATAAATGCATAACAACGTGTAATCGCTCGGAGTAGCGGTGCATCCGCTCGCGTCAAGTCCCCAAGGAGCTTTAAAAAACATAGAGCCTGCTGCGGTCGCAAGCGTTCGGCAACGAAAGTGACGCGCCCGGGCCGACGTTGCAGGGAGCTCGGACACGGCAACGCTGTACTACCTACGCGACCACAAGCTGTACCGCCTGGAGCCGGGGTCCGCCGACGAGCAGCTGCTCGAGCACGACGTCGCGGACTTCGAGCTGGACGCCGACGGGCAGCCGCTGTGGATGGACCGCGCGGCGCGCATCCACCGGCTGCGCGGCGAGCTAGTGCTACGCTACGAGCCCAGCGTGTGCACCGCCAGGTTCGCCTGGGACCACCTGACCGACAAGTTCTACGTGGTCGACGGCGACTCCCAGGAGATCGACGTGCTGCAGCCGGGCGACAAGCGAGCCGTGCTGTTCGAGCGCTCGCCGATTAGGGAGGAGCACGTGATTCGGGAGAAGCCCAAGATGCTCGCCTTGGACCCCGGCAACGGCCTCATGTTCATCCTCACCGACCTCAGCGGTATCAAAAACGTAATGGCGCCGCGCGGCCTCGCGGTCCAGCGTCAGCACTGTCGCCGCTCCGCTTGCTGCTTGCAGGTCTACCGCTCCGACATGGACGGCACCGGCAAGCGCCTTCTCGTGGAGGACGTGTCGAGCGAGCAGCTCAGCGTGGACGCGCCGCGTCGCAAGGTCTACTGGCTGAACAGCAGGCGGCGGATCGTCGAGAGCGTGGACTTCGAGGGCGTGGAGCGGCGGCCCATCGACGGCCTCGAGGGCGTCACCAACGAGACCGCGATCGCCGTGCTCGACGCCGAGATACACTGGTCCGCCGGTGCAGGTAGGTGGCGACGTCGCGGGCCGCGCGCGCGCGCACCACGGCCGCGCTAACCATGCTCGCTGCCGCAAGGTCTGATCAACGTCTGCCGGCTGCGCGACAACTCCTGCGACAGCGGCACGCTGCGCCGGCTCAAGCTGCCGCCGTCGATTCACCCGATCAAGAAACTCAAGCTGCCGGGCGTCCGGACGCCCGGGAGCGGCGCCGCCTGTCGGCCCCCGAGCAACGGCCAGTGCCAGCACATGTGCCTGCTCAACTCGCGCGGCGACAGCGGCTGCGTCTGCTACGTGGGCTGGGAGCCCAACGGCAGGGAGTGCAAGCCTCGGAGACCCAGGCGTCAGGCTTGGGACTTGTACATGACGCCGCAGCCGACTTTGAGACCCGAGCCGCAGCCGTCGGACGTCGCTGGCGGACTGCCGGCTCACATTCTAATTATCGGCAAGTGATACGTGCACATCACTCCGATCACACGCTTTGCTCTTATTGTGCGCGGCGCTTCCAACTCACTTGTCCTTTTCTTTTGTATATTAGGCTAATTTTTTTAATTAAAATAAAGACATGTACGTGTGTTTGGGACTCACACTTATTTCGCTGCATTCCTCTTTGAAACGAAAGATCCGATCAAAACTTTTTTATCATTGTTCTCTTGATTTTCAAAAAGTACTGGCATACTAAAAATTTCGAAAAACATGATAGTATCAATCTATTTAAAGTGAATGAGGGAGAGAGAAAGAGAGATAACTTAATAAATGCCAGAGTCTGGTCTGTCTATCTTACGGAGCCTTTTTTCGCGTTAATTGATCAAGACCATCGCGTAGATGACTTATTGCATCAAATTATAGTAAATTCGTCTTCCAGAAGTCGGAAAACGCATGCGATGCAAAAATATTTTTTTTAATCTAATCATTGCCCCTCAAAGGGGCAATAATTGAGCTTGTATTCCAGCTGTTATTTTGGTATATGTTATGGTGATTAAATTAAATATTATATAGTATCATAGAAGAAGATGAAACATCGGAAGTCAAAGTTTGCATGTTGGTATACAAACTTTTTAATATTATGTTAAACTCTTGTAATTTTAAAGTGAATCCTATTTTTCTATCGCTAACAAATATCCATTCGTCACACAATTTTTTTAGAAAATTGATCGAAGAAACCAATAATAATATATTCTTATATTAAATTCATTTGATAATTATTTTTCGACGTGAATATTGAAACGTGAAATCTACCAGTAACTGGCCACTTAATCTTTATAAAATCATGAGAATTCTTACTTTATTGCTCGGCTGTTTCATAATTTTAATCAAATTTCGTTCAGAAGCATGCAATCAATGTGATTCAGCGTTAGGGAAGTAGGTAGCATATATATATAATTTTTAGGTCAGAATGAAAGTGGCCGGATACTGTGAGTAATAAATTGGTAACTGGTGTACTCACCCTGTATAAAAACAAGTATGTACCGACATTGCAATTCATTAATAATTTGAATAATGCAAATCAAATGTTTTTTTTTTTATTGAAATGTCTTTTATGACAAAACGAAAAAAAAAAATTAAAATTAATGAAGCGCATTATTAATATATATTTCATCTACTAAAAAACATACATCGTATATTGTTCATTATTGTATATTAGATTTTTCAATGTAATAAAAATAATTTAAATAGTTAAAAATATATCGTGAGCTATATAATTATCCATATGTTAAAGTATTTCAAAATCCAAAATAAACCTGTGTTACCAAGGTATCTAGAAGGAGGACAAACTTACTGATAATCCTCATAGATGGCAGTACTAGACTTTCAAACGAGGTCTTAACGTATAAATATTATACATACACTTGTAATACATAGATACGCTTCCCACGCTTTCCTTTCAGTGTTGCCACTGTTTGTCAGTGCGCCATGGTTCACTACCAACAAGTGATCGTACGATAGGCATTCTGCGTTTGTTGTGTTATTTTTAGTAAAAAAGTATGTTTTCCGGGACTTGAAACGTGCGTTGAAGTGGTCTCAACCTTTTCGTGGACGATGAACCTGTGCCCGTGAAATTCTTCCATGTGAGTAGCAGTCAAAGATGTGTATGATGCACAAGCCGGTTTAGCCGCGGTCAAAACATGCAGAATCGAGATCGGGGGTAGACGCTGCAACACGGTGTACACAGTAAACAACGCCGTTCAAAATAAATTGGTATTGCTTGATTTCCATCCGTACGCATTAAGTTAGTCAAGAGAAAATTATTTTTGTGATCGTGTCAATGAAATCATGTATCTTGATTAATTTTATTGTTTAAATATACTTTTATTTTGAAAATCTTGCATATATTCATAGCTAATTACTATTTTCAATTGATCGGAATTCGCAAATAATGCTTAAAAACCGTAAGCAACATTTTTTATTAAACAATTATATTGAGGGTCTTTCAGAAAATAAAAACAATGAGGCTTTCACCCAGAAACAAAGATATATTTACTCCATATATCACTTCAATAGAATATACCTGTTTGAAAAAGCATTAATTAATAAAAAAGGAATTTAACTTTTTATAACAAGTTATCACCAAACGTCGTCAGTGCTTATCTAATCTTTAAGTATACAGAGAAAAATGTTTTCTATTAATTTTGCTGTTAAAAATATTAAACCCTGGTTCAATAATGCTGATCAAGAAATTCGAAATTTCAAGTTTCGCGTCAAGTTTATGTTTGTTTGCTTATAGCTCTAATAAATGCCGTTTTAAAAATACCGAAAAAATGTGGAATAGTTAAAATAATTATTTTGATAATAGTTTTACATATTCAATCTCAAGAGTATAAAATGTCGCGCTTAATTAAATTTCGAATAATTGTTTATATGGAGAAAACAACGGGTCTTATTTAAATTTAAAAATATAGAATTTCACTCGGTGCGTTCAATAAAAAAGGCTCATGCAAAATAAAACAAATAGAACTTTTTTCATTAAAACGCTGAAAATCGGTATCGTATAAAATGTCTCTGCATGCTCAATATGCTATTAATTAATGTTACGTTGAATTGTGAATGTACGATTCTAGAGATGATTTAAAATGTAAAAATGAAATTTGTTGTAACCTTTAACGCTCACGTGAACTTTCAACGAGAGTTTTATTGAAAAAGAATTTTCATAATTTTAAATAAACTGTTTTCTTTATGTAGGAGAAAATTAAGATTTCATTAAAGTAAGTATTCGCAAATATTTCGTAAATTATGATTCTTTTAACAGAAAACCACTCGGCTGTGAAGATTGTTTCAAGATTATGAATAACTAAGTTAACAGTTGCCGCAATGTCGCTCAGTAAAGAAGATCAACAGTCATACCTAAAAGTAGCTCAAATCTACTACTCATTTCAAGACGAGCATCCAGTCGAAAGAATTTTTAAAAGAATTTTAAAGAAAAAGGGCGACATAAATTTCAAAATACCAAGCCGCAGCACACTGAAGTACAACCTAGCCGATTTATTTGGCAGTACAGCGCTTCACATTGTAGCCTTCAAGGGTCATATCAATGCTTTTAATCTGCTGTTAAATCAAGGTTCCGATTTCACAATTCGCAACCACCATGGGAAAACGGCGCTTCATTACATGATCAACGATCAGTCCGTTGAGGAGGCCGAAGAGTTCGTCAATTCCGTGTTGACCGCTCACATAGTCACCGGAGACCCCACCAATCCCTGTGACAAAAATGGCTTGTCTCATTTTCACATCGCCTGCTTGAAAAACAACGTTCGCGCCGTGAAGTTTTTCCTCGAAATGGAAATACCCGTCGACGAAGCCGTGAGCTCGGACTCGAGTCAGTTCGCGGGTTACACGCCGCTACACTTCGCGATCAAAGGCCTCGCCGTCGAAACGGCCTTTTTGCTCCTGAAGAATCACGCGGACGTGAGCTTAACGGACGCCAGAGGCATGTCGGCGCTGCACATGCTTCTCAGAGACAAGCTGGCGATACTCAACAATCCGGACAAGATCCGCAAGGACAAGAATCTGCAGGCGATCGACGAAATACTGGAGCTGTTGTCGACGAATCACGCAGTCGACAGCGCAGGCATAACCAAATTCCACATCGCCTGCACGATGAAGGACTCGTCGATCGTCGAGTACATGTTCTGCCGTACGCGCGACGTGAATCATCAGGTGAGCGCGGATTCGCCAGTTTTCCCTGGCTATACTGGCTTGCACTTCGCCGCCCAGTGCAACATCGGCACTGCCAGATTGCTGATCAGCAAGGGCGCCAACTTCGGCGTGAAGGACACCGCGGGCAACACGCCGCTCGACCTCTATCTGGAAAACCGCAAGTGGCAGGAGCTGAAGACGATACTGATGTGCGAGCACGACTTGAAGAACACCGTGTTCGCCAACAGCAAGGCCAAGCTCGTCGACTTCTTGGCAGCGCTGCACGACTGTTTCGTGCCATCGGTGTTTTACAATTACCTGCGCGACGTCGTCAAGGACGCGAGAACGCGCATACCCCTCTCGTCGCCTTTATGGCCGGGCTTCACGCCGCTTCACTTCGCGGTGTTGGCTTGCGAGGAGACGAGCGCCGCGGTGATACGACTGTGCTTGGTCCAAGGCGCCGAAGCTCACGTGCAAGACAAATGCGGCTGGACGCCGCTGCACCTGGCCTTTCGTCGCCACAAGGTCGAGGCCATCAAGTGGCTGCTACTTCATCACCACGAGCTCGTCAATCCCAGTGACGACGACGGCCTGACGCACTTGCACATCGCTTGCGCCACTGGACATCTAGAATTCGTCGACAGACTTCAGTACAGCTTCGACCTCAACGTTGTCTACACGGGTAAACGGTCGGTAGGCTTGATAAAGCCCGGCTTCACTTTGCTTCACACTGCAATTGCCAGTGGTAGTAGCGCGATCGTCGAGATACTACTCAATCATTGCGTGGACGTCGAAGCGAAGGACGCCAATGGGGAGACCCCGATCCATCAGTTCCTTCGACTTACCGATAACATCAAAAACATGGGCCGAATCTTATTAGCTTCTAGACACTTGAAGGACCATGTGCTCGAAAAAATCGGGCTGAGCCGAATACACCTCGCTGTTTACTGCGAGAACTTGGACGAAGTCGACAAGTCCGAGGCAAACGTCGACGTGGCGATCAATTGCGAGGATTCAGCGTCGCCTTGGTGTTGTTACAACGGATACACACCGCTGTATCTGGCGATCAAGGAACGCTCGGATGTACCATTCTTGCATAAGCTGTTGAAACGTGGCGCCGACATTCTGGCGACAAAACCAGGTGGAATGTGCCCCCTATTTGAGGTTTTGTCGAGCGACTGTGATAAATTTGTTATGGACACGTTTGTTGATATGCTCAAGAGTACGGAGGACATTCAAAAACGCTTGAAAAGCATCTCGGGAATAACCATCCTCCACATTGGCTGTTACATTATTGACGTTGAATTGATTAATTTTTCATTAACGGACAAAGAAATCGACGCCAATTCGCAAGTACACGCCGACTGTCCGATTTGGCCTGGCGACACGCCTGTGCACGTGATGCTGAAGATTATTAAGTGTATCAATAGACCTAGCTTATCCCAAGATTTCCATAGCGTACTCGAATTGTTGTTGTCTGCTGGTGCCGACGTTACTATCGCAAATAAGGACGGTGATAGCCCTGTTCATTTGGTATATGATCACTTCTCGCCTCCACTGGGTAAGAAATAGCCTTTTATCAGATTACGCAATATTGTCAGTTCGATATATTAAATTATTTATCTGTATTTCTTCGTGTCAGGTTACAAATATATCGACATACTTATAAGCCAACAAAAAGACTATCGACTCAATCCAAAGAACAATGACGATGTGTCGCACTTCCATTTAGCTTGCATGGTCAACAATTGCGAGATAGTTAGCAAATTTTTGCAACATTTTGGAACGAGTATCATAAATGATCCAATTGACTTGTTTGCGGAAAAGTTCGCAGGAGAAACTCCGCTACATCTAGCTGTGGATTTTATAGCGCGGCAGATGTTTGGTGCCGAGCGTCAATTACAAACTATTAATTTGTTACTGTTACAAGGTGCGAACGTTTGCGCTGAGGATAATTATGGATTCACTCCACTCCACAAAGCTGTTACCAAGGGTCCGCTAATTAATATTATTGATAAATTAGTCAAGTGAGATGATTACTTAAATTGATATTGATGTTTGTAATATGCATCGTATCGCTATTTTTATTTTATTTTGCAGTTATGGAGCTGTTATTAATGCCGAGAGTATATTCGGAGAAACGCCTTTGGAAATTATATTAAAATTAGAAGAGATCCCAATCCATGTGATGAAATTTTTCGCCAACCTTGGTTGTCGCTTGAACTCCAGTAATCCTATAACCGAAGTGGGTTATTTGTCGCTTGTCATTTCAAATTATTATCATCGTATATCACAACAAGTCCGTGCTTATGATGTTATGATGAATTCTGATGATATGGTCGCGGTTGATGAAATGGGACGTATTGCTATTCACAATATCGTTACCACAACTGACACTTCACCAGACCTCGTTGAATACACTGGGTTTATGGAAACGTTCTTTGAAAATGATTATGATATTGATATTCAAGATAAGAGAGGTAGTGTAATTTTTTATATTTATTGAATTATTCGTTAATTCTTAATAACATTATTATTTGTAACAGGTAAAAGTGCTCTCCACCTTGCAGCAAAATTTGGAAATGTTATGGCTGTGGAAGCTCTGCTCAATCTCGGTGCCAATGTCAATCTCCTTGACAAAAATAATCGAACTGCATTATTTTACGCTATGAAGTTTCACGACCGCTGTAAACGTTGCCCCGTAAGGCAATGCCATAAGAGAACCATTTACTGCCTCGCTCGACACATACGGAAATTGAAAGTATTTAATCTAGACATTGAGAATCTTAATTCCTATCTAATGCGAGTTGAGCTACCAAAAATATTTGATATTCGACTGTTGGATCATCGATTTCTCGGACAAATGGAAATAACGAAGCGATTGGTAGTTGATGAAGAATCAAAGCTTTATTTATGCGATTTTTTGTCGGAAGAAAAGGCTATACTCAATTATCCTTTCATGTCTGATGAAAAACGCAACGTTGTTGATGAGTTTTTTCAAACTATCGATAACATTGCCGATTTAGATATGATGAAGGATATTTGCAAGTTACAATATAGAAAAGCTATAAAGAGAATAAGACTGGTTGATTTGGCCGCGGATTTAATGTACAAATTGATGGGTTTCCCAGTGCCTTTAGTGTGTCAGAAGTCCATTTTTGAGACTTTAAAAAACTCAGATATCGAAAATTTCATCTTGGCAACGATGAATATCTAGTTTTGTTGAAAAAAAACATAATAAAATATTTTATTTTGTTTATAGGTAGAGACTAGTCAGGAGTTTGAAGACAAAAGTGGAAGTTTTAAGAATGTTGGTTCTTTTTATTACTTTTTATAAATCATTGTAAATGTAAAGTTCATTTTTTATCAATTTAGATTCAATGTAAATAATTCAAACTCAATACAATCATATTTTGAAAAGTAATTTTTAAACGTGAAGTTACATTTTATGATGCGTTTTTGTAGGGAGAAGCACAAATAATAGTTATACAAGATTTTGTCATGTTGAAGTCAGGTCGCACGATAAAACTTTAAGTGCCTTCAGTTATCTACATGTCATATTTTGTTTTCTTCCGAAACAGAAGACTGTTATTAATTACTAATATTTTTATAAATACATTGTAATTACATAAATAACTGATGTGCTGGTTGGTTTGGTATGAAAATTAAATATAAAGTTTTTTAATAAATGAATCTTTTTTTCTATAATCCTTTCAAAAAATGTAAAGAAATCATCACGGCTCAAATTAAGCGATAAAAATTTGCAAATTCTCTTTTTATTATTAATAAATTCTTCACATCCTCTTTTTAGCATTTATAAAAAACAATACAATATCTTCAAATTCAGATATTTTATATCAACAATACCAATTAACGCGTTTATTTGAAAATTTCTACGTGAATATTTTTCGTCACAAATTTTCTATAATATTATAATACTAATTTTTTTATATTATTTATTATAATAATATTAAACTGGAGCCACATAAATAAAAATTTAAGTAATAAATATAAAAGTTGTTTTTTGCTACAGTACGAAAATCATAATTGAAAATATTCCAATTGAAAATTATGTTTAAAAAAAAATAATTTAATAATTACGATAAGAAAACTATGAAAGGTTAAAAATAATAATACAAATATTATAAAAAAGAATCAACTTTATTATATTAATGCATATTAAAGTGCACTTTCCTTTAATATATATTGTATATCATCTTAATATTGTAATTTCTGTTATCGGCACTTTTTATTATCGCAAAAAATGTACATGAGGTATTCATTAGAAACAAATCTACAAATTAATACTTCAATGATTCATTGGAAAAAAATGTTCTGCACACAATTATTATTCTACAATGAAAAATTATATTCAAAACCGATATAATAATGAACATTGACCTTATTCAAGATTGATTAATTTTGCTTGAAGTATACATTATTACTGTATAATTATCATGATCAATTCATTGAAATAATATATTCGTTTACATCTATTATTACACAGCTTTAGTGTGCACTCCAATTATTTCCAAACCACGTAATTTCATTTCAAATTACTCTAACGCCCCTAGCTAACTTAAAAGTCAGCGCCGTGTATATATACACACACTTTTAAATATTAGAGGAATCCGTTTTACAATATTTGACATTTACAAATTTTGTACTATTTTTCTTTCCAAGCATCGAGAGAGAAAAAAAGTTCATAGCCTTTTTTACGTTCTATAGCTTTTAATGTACATTAAAATATAAGCGAAATGTCTCGCTTATGGTAACACTATATCTTGCAATACGGTAAGGTACTTAAGAGAACACAGTTAAAATAAATCAAGTCACACGCACGCACACGCTATTTAATCACACTTTCGTTCATTGGATTTCGATCGAAATATTTTTTTTAAATCATTGCAATCAAGTCATAAGAATGGATTTAGATCGGACCAAAACTACGAATTCGAGTGGCAAGCATTAATCACGAATTTCCTCGAGAACATTGGAAAAGAACCTGCGTAACAATTGCTGTAACTTGTTGATCCAAAATCTGGCTCATACTCAGCGACAAGAGGCGTGTCTCGTGTTGAAGTAATAAAGTCCTATTATCCGGATGTCTCGACAGCTGTAAAAGTGTATCAGCAGCACGCCTTAGCATATCCAAACTCGTGCCCATAGTTTCAGGATTATCACGTAGTGCGGCTATTCCATAACGATTAGCAATACCTAGGCCAATGCTCTCGGCTTGTTCGACGAACGACACTAACAGATTGACACAAGGCGTTTGCAGTGCTACCGTGCGAGCTAATCCACTGTCAGCGCTTGAGAGGAAATCCAGGAGCGTTATGGCGAATTCTCGCAATACTTGTTCTTCGTTTCTGTGAAGAAATCGCGATAATACCGAGCACAGCCTTTGGAATCTCGAGTAAGGTGGTGTTGCTACGACGAGGTCAACGTTATTCTTCGTAACGCAGAGTTTGCAGAGAGCTTCGAGTGCCAATCTCTGCGGCGATAAAGACAAGTTCGAGCTGACGGTTGGCAGCGGATCTTGACCATGTGCAGCTGGACAAACTGCCCAGTGGAGAAGACCATCGATCACTGGTCGAGATATTTTTTCTGCATACTGGCTCAAGTCCGTGTAACCAGAGATGTTAGCTGCCATTACTAAAACGTTTTCACGGATGTGATATAGAAAACCCCACCACCATTCGTCTTCGTTATGCAGATTACCGCAATTAGTATCTAAAAAATCTGCATCTTCATCTCGATCGTAATCGCGTTTCTTGTGAGTTGGGTGCTCGTGATGAAGCAACAAAAGTTTGCCTAGCAAGCTTAAAAACATGGAGTTTCGAGCAAATTCCAATTCGTTGCCTGGAATGAAGGTCAGATTACGGAGAATCGTCGAAAGGCAAACGCATTGTTGAGCTAAATTGTCTTGACTATCGCTGAGCAGGTGCAAGCTGCCTTCGTCTCTCGTGTAACTTTCATCTTCGTAATCACTCATTCGCCTCTTTAATATTCCAGCTGGATCTCGAACTTTTATTCTCATCTGGTCTTTCTCTAATACAATACTGTCATTTACTTGCGCTTCAATACCATTTTTCAGAAGCGACACCTTACCGCATGAGCTACTGTTGCTGCTGGTACAACTTCTGCTCCTAGCTGACTGGTCTTTGGTAACTACCTTTCTATTATTCTGCCAGTTTACAATCGGCGAGGAGCGTGAAGACGTGACGATTTTAACTGGTTTTCTATTTCTAGTTAGAAATGTATAATTGGAGCAGGACAAAATCTTTGTACGATCTTTGGGATTAACCGGGCCAATAATTGCTTCAGAATCATTATCTGATTCATCTACGTTCTGGTAGAAACAACAAAGTTCTTCTTCAACCAGTGAAGAATCGAACATATCGGCTAAGGATAGAGCAAAATGTTCTAATAAAACATCTAACAGTCCTGGTAAGTGAGTAAGTCCAAAGTACTGTACTGAGGTATCATCGAATAGAAGACTATTTAGAACATCCAAAGCCCAACATCTTTCGGCTAATAAACTTGATCTCAATGCCATCATTATTCTCCAAGCTTCCACTGAGCCAATTTCGGCTCGAGTCAATTTTTTTCTTTTGTACATTATAGGCGTTACCGTTTCTACTTTTTCCATCTTCTCAATTTTTTCTTGATACACTGGTTCTCTTTTCACCCAAGATGGTGGACTTGTATATCCATTGCTCATACTCATATTCATGTTTGCATACCCATTGCTCATATTTGTATTTGAACTTGGATATGCATTATTTGTATTTGTAATTGGATATGCATTATTCATATTTGCATTTGGATATACATTATTTGTATTTACACTTGGGTATGCATTATTTGTATTTACACTTGGGTATGCATTACTTGTGTTTATACTTGGGTATGCATTATTTGTATTTACACTTGCGTATGCATTGTTCAAATTTGTATTAGGATACATATTGTTCATACCTATGCTTGTATTTGTATATCCATTGCTCACTGACATGTATGTAGATGCATACCCATTGTTCATCATCATATTTGGGTAGCCACTATTTACAGCCAAATTTGGATTCATGGTAAGGTTCATTCCAAGTCCACCCTGAAATTAATGATATTGTACTTATGAGTTAAATTTTGAAACAATTTACACACAAAAATCTTTTACAGGACACTTGAAAATTTATTATAACAAATTTTAAAGCATACTTTTAATATAAAAATTATTCAAGCAATACATAGGAGAACCTTTGCATAAACTTTTTTTTTTAACTTTTAATTTTGTGTGTAAAATTTATAATTCAAGAAAGCCTTTACTAATCATAACAGTGTTTTTTTTCACTATTAACACTTTTTTAAATGAATTTAAAAAATATAAAATCCAAACTACTACTTTCATAGCAAATAATAAAGTAAATTCTGATAACTGTACAGTGGACAATCGCAAAAAACTGACACAAAAACTTATCCAGACGTGACAGATGCACGTGTCTGGAATATATACACTCCAAGCACGATCGTTGGTAAACTAATGCTACGTTGGCTTGTGAGAAGAGGCTTCTATTCTCTACATGTATATACGTATATGAGTGTGTGCATGTGTGAGTAAGCGATGCAACGGTAATACTGATTCGTGATAGCGTGCGTCTTTTCTATCTCTTTCTTCCTCGTAACTAGGAGAACACACATAGTTGCACACGCGAATAGCAAGCAAAACAAAACTCGAGAATATTTATGATTTTAATCAACTCATTATTTTTAAACGCACTCACACACGTATAAACATTATTTAACCAAAAGGTAGGTAGCATATGACGTTCACGCGAATAGGTATGTGGCAAGCATTATTCTCTCCTTTGAAAGAAACATAAAAACAGCGACGCGCTCATGGTGTAGAAATAGAAACCACCTGAATAACATCCAGCACTTATACTCACTTTTCACAAAAAAAAAGTATAATTGTGAGCAAACTCGCAGAGGGTGGGGACTACTCGATTCTCGTGAAAATAAAAGATATTTTGTGATACGCCCTCGATTCGCTTTACGACAGAGTGTGTGCCTCCGATGGAGAAAAACGGCCGCGTAAGTTGAGAGGGGATGAATATACTATACTATACTATATACTACAAACCTGCTGTGGCCGCATGGGGAATTGATCTTCTATCTCTTTTCTTTTCTCTATATATAAGGCGATCGAAACTTATTTAGCGCCATCTAGTCGAAATGAAGAAAACTACAAGTTTTTTTAAACCTTTGCCAACACCAACACCTTAAAAATTGTTTCAAGTTTTACAACGATGTAATACACAACAAATATGTTTTTTTCTAATTAAAGTGATAAATGTTCATTGCTGATATAAATACTGTAGTATGTCACAATGAAATTGTTGAATGTAAGTATATTGAATATATATTAGTATGTTCATAATATAAGAACAATTAATTTTTGATGATTCATTAAAATTTGTGATGAGGTCGCGAGCTTACACACCTGTTATTAAATGGTAAGTATCAGGAAACATATAGAAAGATACTCTAATTTATTCAACATTTTAAAAACTTTGACTAGAAATGTTTAATTATGATTAATTTAATTATGATTTTTTTAATTCCCTTGTTATTAGATCTTCTTTAAAAAATCAGATGAAAATAAATAAAATCACGAAACATTGAATAAAATACAGTTTTATTTGTTTTTTAAAATGTAAAACATAATTAGCTACAGAAAATACATAATATATTACAATAAAGAACGTTTATAAATCAATGTTTTTCCCATAATTCTATAAAATTCAGCAGTTATTACTATATAAAATTTTACTATATATTTTACTATATAAAATTTTTATAGTTTTAATATATAAAATTATTTTCACTTAAAATGTAGTTCTGTTATCCGTGTTATCAAATTTGGTATGCTACAGAAGCTCTTATCTATAACAATCTTTAAATGGTTCCATAAGTAATTATTCAATTGTTTATAACATTTTTTTCATTTTGGACAATGTAAAATAATAAATAGTGTAAACTCTACAGCAAAAACAAAAATAATAATAATTTTACTATGTTGTACGTAGTTTTAAATAAAATATAAATTTAATTTTACTTCTGATACATTTAAATATTGAAATCTTTGAGAATTTTTAGTAAGTTTTGAGTGCAATCAATTTCTTGAATATTATTATTTATAGCTTTGTCTATGTAATTTAAACTGTTACTTAATGCAAAAATAGAGTCAATTTCTGGATGATATTTTTTACAACTTATTCCAGGTTTGTTTAATGAACAAAAATTACAAGACAGGGACAGTCAATCCACAAGTGTAAAGTCACTTTTAAGTAATTGTTGAAATATCTGTTGCATTGATTACACCAAAATATGCTTAATGTATTACATATTTTGCAACTATCACCTATAGTGATTTTGGTTGTAATAACAATATTACATAATAGACATATTTTGGTAATAGTAGCTTAAATTGATATTGAAATGTTAGAGAATTATTATTCTCCTTTAATTTAAAATTAGTTTTGAATTTGATAAATTCTTAATTCACTATAATATTACTGCTACTAGTTTGATCGCTGTCATCAAAGTGATCAGTATCTACAATTATTTTATTATCACTTTCAAAGCAATTTATTCCAATAGAAGTTTTTAATCTCAAGAAAGCAATAATTTGATAGTGTTATCTTGTTTAATTAAATGTTACTATTATTTTCAATGTGCAAAGATATCAAAAAGTACCCTTACATATTTTTACTCATTTTCATTTGGAATCTCTTTTTGGAATATCAGATTTATACTTCTTTTTATTTAGATAATCATTTTTTGCTACAAAAATGTTTTTGTACAATTAAAATAATTAATAAAAGAATGTCTAGTGTACTTTAATAATCGATTAGTTATATGATAACCAATAAATTATAACACAACCAATTAATCTATCAAATACTATCGAAAAACAAAATTTATTGTTAATTACTAATTGTTTGCCATTTCATTGTGGCCAGTACAGTAAACAAATATCTATAACCTCCAATTCATATTTAAATTCACTGTCTTCCGATCATCGTACGTTATCCTGCAGTAAAACTTGACTATGCGTCATCGTAAGATTATTTTATTTTTTTTGCATTACATATAGCTGTTGATCACTATTATTCAAAAACTACATAAATGCTGCAGTTGCTGTTATATAAAGAATGTTTGCATTAACTTTCCACTGCAACTTTCTACAAGGTGACGTACGAATTAATCCGACCAACATAGTACAGTAATTTGATAAGCACGTGCGACACATGAGGCGAGATTTTAAAAGTAGCAACTAGAATTAATTTTTTAAGGTAAATTATTTATGATGTTAGATAGTTCGTAAAAGAAGCTATAGTTTTTTTCGCAATCATTTGTTAGTTCGTCCTGGTAAAATTCGTCAAAAAAAAAAAGTCTTAATTGCTGGGTCCTAGAGCTTAGCATCTGAAATTCAGATTTGAATTACGATAAAAATGTCAAAAATATGTTTATAAAAAAATCATTCGTAGACTAGTCGTTAGTTTACGAGATGAATTAATGGCTTCCATGATAAAATCGGAAATGAATCAATTTAAATAATTAAAAATTTTAAAAAACTACTCTGACCTACGATTGTTGACTTACAGCCAAACCAGAGATTATCTGGCTAAACACCAAAATGGCGCGCATATTCCTGCCCTGCATTACTTACAAGTATCCTTATTTTTTCATATATTTTAGGCTCTTTCCAGATAAGCTTCAAGGGTCAGAAAACTGCGCGGTATTTTCTCTTATTCTGTTCCAACTATATACTTGAATAGTTATAAATAATTTTGCAATAGTGTTCTGATAGGTGTCATGTAAACACAGTTGAATATATATAATAATATTAATGATTTTTACGTTTAATTATGTATCTAATTACAAATATTTTTTAAATAGTTACAAAATTTACTTTAATAAAACTTTAATAAATAATTACAATTTTTACATTATTTAAAAATAAATGATTTTAAATATATAATTAAACTTAACAGTAATTTATATTATATATATTCATCTGTGTTTACAAGTCACATATCACAACACTGTTGCCAAATTGTTTTGAATCTTATCTGGAAAGAGCTTCATTTAATTAACATTAACATTTTATTTCCGCCGCTAGGGGCGACACTGTTCTAGGGGCGCTAGTTGCGGGAAAATTGAAAGGATCTGTGTAGCGTATACGTTGTATTCTGTATCGCAAGAACTGGCGCAAATTTTTTTATATTGATTTATATGGTTACGGCCGCATATGTACGTACGATCGTGAACGGATGCGTACGACAATGGAAAATCCTCTAGTATCACTAGACTATTACAAAAAACTTAGTAATATTTCATATTGCCAACGCAGTAAATCACTCTACATCAAATTTTAGCAAAATACAACCTAGTACACTCATTTAATATAACCTTCAAATTAATCTTAAATTGCGTGACAATGTAAAATAAAATTGTACAAGATATACCAAGAAACATAATCTAAAAGAAATGATTAACATTCTATATGAAAGAATAACAAGTTATCGGAATATTTGCACACAAAAAGTAGCTCATTGTAAATATTTAAAAGCAATATGAAGGATTTCATTGATAGATAGCTCTATAAGTAGTGGTTTATAGCTGTAGACACATTGGGGTGTATTTAAGTCCACGTAAACCTACCTTTCTAAGGTTATTTGATCTCAGTTTTTTATAGTCTTTAGTTCGCGACTATTTGCTAGAATTTATAAAAAATAGTCATTTTTTTGACAGTTTGGCATTAAAAATATCACTAAAGCCTTCTTTGGAGTCGTACACGTCCGTCCGCAATCGTGCGTATGTACATATATGTTGTCGGGGCCTATACCATGGATGTTTACGTGGACTATAGCAATTGGACAATCAGTCAATTGAAATTATTGAAAAATGAATTGAAAAAGAAGAATGCAAAAGTTACGGGTAAAAAAGAGATCTAGTAAAGAGCTGGTTAAGAAATACTTTGAAAATTCATTATCAACAAATGGGGCTACGTAAATTATTTATCTCTTTAAATTAGTTGAAGTAGGGAATAGTATTCATTAGAAATCCCTAATTTGACGTTATTCAATGATTTTAATATATCTTATGCATTAGATTTAGGAGTTGATTTTGATAAAAAATATTATAAATTTGTATTGGAAGTGAACACAGATCAAGGAGTTAAAATGTACAATGGATACTACCTGAAGAGTATAAGACAAGTTGTAGATCAAAATAATGTAATGTTCATTCGTGCTGCAGTAGCTTCAGAATTTCGTAAAGCTATAATTTACGATATTGCCTTGAAAATAACTCCTTGTCAGTGCATCAGTGATATACAATATGGCCCACTGTCCACTGTAAATGTGTTGTTATAAAAGCTTTTAAAAGCTTCATAGAAAATGTTACTATCAAATACTCATTAGTTCTAATTATGCAATAGTCATCTAATGTTTTCTGATTGAGTTGAAGAATGTTAAATTTTACACAAAAAGTTATATTTATTTCTTTCTTAAAAGTATTGGTTTTAAATTTTCCCGCAACTAGCGACCATAGAATAGTGTCGCTCCTAGTGGTCGAAACAACCCCATTTTACTACAATACAATTCAACTCTGAACTCTGATCTAGGTGCTAGGACCCAGCAACCAAGATTTATTTTTTTTTTTTCAAAAGATTTTTCGAAGACAAACTTAAAAATGGTTGCAAAAAAAGTCGTTGCTTTTTTTACGAACTATCTAACAGTATAATTAGTTTATCAATTATTTAATAAAAAGTAATTTTAGGTGCTACCTTTAAGACTTCATCAGCGCTTGACCCGAATGTTTAGTGAACTCCTGTGCTAGTTACGAATCACAGACAATTTTACTGAATCTACACTATGTGTTACTGATTGCTCATTGATTATTCACACACATCTTCCAGCAGAATTGTGGCTGTATATATACATATATATAAAATGCATATGAAAGGATACCATCAAGATCAAAATTATTGGCAAGTAATTGACAAAAGCTTATACCTTCCTGTATGCGTATGTGTATGCAGTAGTCAGTGACATACATTAATCCGTATTGCATACATATATGACCTCATACTCAACTTAGTTGTATAGGATAATTTTTTTTCGCTCCCTTTTAAAATTTTTTCGGTTGCTCGCGTTTTTTAAATGTAGAATCAATATACCTCTGTGTGGACGTATTCTTGCTATTGATAACATGTATGTGTGTATCTGCGTGCGCGCCTATGAATCCGCGCGTGCGTGCGTGCGTATATGTGTGTGTACGTATATGTATATATGATTTTAATATTTACGAACCATTGTCAGTATTATACCTTTCTTAAAATTGTTTTAAAAAACTTGTTCTTCGAGATATATTGATTATTAATTTGAAACCTTTTTGTTTTGATTTGATACGAATAGATTTGTAGATTTAATCATAAGACATTTTTGCATGTGATATGTAATACAACTAATTTCTAACTGGAGAATTTTATTGAGATGAAAAAATTAACGATAGATTTGTGACGAATACAACAGCGGACGTTCATTCATATGATGCGTTTACAGATTTTATTCACTGCTCGTGCAATATTGTTTTAATATTTGTCTAATGATTTCTCTTCATTTTTAGGTAGACGTTCTCTTGTTGCCTGCACGATTTTGAACGAAAAATATCGGCACGATGCCGTCCGACAAGGATACAAGAAAAGCAATCATTAAATTCGCTCAGCTTTACAACCTTTTCAATCAACGTCGCAACAAAAAATACTTCGACTCTGTCATCCAAGACCTAGTGGACGTCAATTGTCAAGTGCCATCGAACGCTTATTTAGAATTGCACAAGTCGCACATCATTGGCTATACGGCATTGCATATCGCTGTGCAAATGGAGCAAATCGAAGTTGTCCATCGTTTGTTGAATCAAGGTATTGACTTTACGATGAAAAATCGCAGTGGCTCAACGGCCCTTCACGATGCTCTTCAAAAGAGCGTCAACAAGATACCAGGCTGGAAATTGAACGGCAGACTCGATGATTCTTTCATCCGTCCAATACTATCACGTCACGTTGCCACGCACAACGCAATAAATCCGAGCAACGAGTGCGGCATCACGCATTTCCATGTAGCTTGCATGACTAACCAAACCGAAGCCATTGAACTTTTTCTCGACAAGGGTGTGCCGGTCGATCACGCTGTCGGTCAAACTTTGCCAGTGTGTCCAGGCTACACTGGCTTGCACTTCGCGGCTAGATGTTGCGGTTTGGAAGCGATGGAGATACTCTTGAAACGCGGTGCTGACGCTAAAGCCCAAGACGCTAAAAAAATGACACCGATGCAGATGATCGTTGAAAATATCATTGAAATGGTTGAGATGATCAGATCTGGCAACGACGAAGTTTACGAAAATATCACGGAAGACTTTGGAAAGAATTTAAGGATGATGGTATTGCTAATGGGTTGGGAGACAAGTGCGGTCGATAGCGTGGGCTTGTCACACGTTCACGTTGCCTGTACGATGAGGGACACTTCGGTAATCGAACGATTACTGGAACAAAACGTCGACGTCAATCAAATAGTCAAGGTGGACTCGCCAGTTTGGCCAGGCTACACGCCGCTTCATTTCGCCGCCATGTTTAATTTCGAGATCGTCAAGTTGTTACTGACTAAAGGCGCAAACGTCGAAGCTAAAGATGCTAAAGGCATCACGCCGTTTCAGATATGTCTCGAAAGATACGGATTTGAAGAGATACACTACTTACTGTCCAATCACGATGTCTGGCAAAACGTCGTACTGTCGGACGCCACCACGAAATTAACCGATCTCGTGCGAGCTATGGGAAACTTGAAGGAATTCGAGTCCCTGCTGCGAAACATCGATGCCAATCAGGAGAATCGACTGAACATGCACGTGGCCATCGACTCGCCGCTGTGGCCAGGTAATACAATTCTGCATTTGGCTGTAATATTCTATGACATGACGAGGAATCTGGGCAAAGTCGACCCGGCGGTTCATCGTTTGCAAATGATCGAAGAGTGTTTGAGATTGGGCTCAGACGTGACGATAACAAACGCCGACGGTTACACGCCGCTTCATCTGGCGTTCCGCGCCGGTAGAGACGACGCGGTCGAGAAAATGCTCCAGCACCACCACTCGATCGATAACCCAGTGGACGACAGTGGACTGTCTCACCTGCACATCGCTTGCGCAGCGAACAACAAACTTTCCGTGGTCATTCTGCTAATATCAAGCAAAAGCAATGTGAACCTTGGCTTGCAGACGACTTTCATGTGGTACGGCACTTTGAGAAACACGTTTGGACTGAGCAGACGGTGCCTCGTGCACCTGAGGTCTGGTTCGACGCCGTTGCACGTCGCCGTGACGATCGGTAGCGCGGAGATCGTCGAATTGCTGCTGAAACACGGCGCCAGCCTATACGCCAGAGATGCCGACGGCCTGACGCCAATCCACTGCGTGCTGACCTCCTGCGACCGCGCGACGATTGGCAAGACCTTGCTGTCCGCGCGGCGCCCGTCCGTGCACGAGTGCGTCACCGATAGCGGACTGAGCCACCTTCATATCGCCAGCTTCGTCAACAGCGTGCACACGATAACGAGCCTGCTCGAGCATGGTGCAGACGTCGACTTGGCGATCGCCGGCGAATTCATCACTAATGCGTCCGTCGATGCGTGCGACAATCCGTTCACATTCGTCAACAGTCTGAGTATCACGCGGAACGTCGACGAACCCGACAACCAAATAAGCGTCACGCTCGACCGGGATACTCCGTCAGACGAGAGCGTCGAGGGATTGATCGATCCGTACGGCGACCCACCGATCGATCCGTACGGCGAGTCAGACAAATACCTCAAGCGCTACGCTGGCTTTACGCCTCTGCATTTCGCTATGCGGGCTAATAGCCGCGACGCCGTGCATCTGCTGATCGACAGAGGTGCTGACATTCTCGCCCGGAGCAATGGTCATACTCCGCTCTACGATACTCTGAACTGCGTCTACAATTACTTAGAGGAATTCACGACCTTGCTCATAGCTGACGTCGCCCTTCGCGAGCGTGTTCGCCACGATACTGGAATCACGATGCTGCACATCGCTTGTCACAGGATCAACATTGACATGGTCAGGGAACTGCTGAGCAACGCTGATACCGATATCAATGCGACCATCAATTCTGATTCGCCCGTTTGGCCGGGCTCCACGCCGTTGCACGTGCTGTTAATCATGTGGGAAAATAATTTCTATACCACTACCAATGTAGCGAATATGATCGTTGACGTGATGGTGTTACTGTTGAACAATGGTGCCGATGTTAAAAAGCAGAATGCTCAACTCGATACGCCTTTGCATATTGCCGACCGGATATTCTTTCTTTCCGATGGTAAATTTGTCGTGACAATTGGATGTATACTAAGCTTTTAGAATTCTAAATAGGATTTTTTTCTCTTTTTCTCTTTGCAGCTTATCCAATCACTTCTCCAGCTCATACGTCCGTAAGTTTGCTGTTAAACAAACACATGGATTTCAACGTGAATCCAATTAACAACCACGGATATTCGTTCTTTCACATTGCGTGCCGAATGAATTTCGTAGCTCCAGTGAGCGAGTACCTGAATCATGGGGTCGACGTTAATCAACCAGTCGATTACTTTACCAATGAAAGTGCTGGACAGTCGCCATTGATCTTGGCAGCTGGAAGCCTCGAGAGAATCATTCGCGGGGTTGAGGTGCAAATGGAAGTTGTCGATGTGCTACTCGAATATGGAGCTGATATTCAGGCTGAAGATGCGTTTCGCAATACACCATTGCACGCTGCCGGTGCTTGGGGTGGTTCTAGTGAAATTCTCCTCACACGTTTAATTAGGTATGTACATATACGGCTCATGGATGAAGTTTTTTTATCGCGTACCTTTTTTGCTTACAGTCACGGGGCTGATATGTATGCCAAAAATATATTCGGCGACACTCCATTTGAAGTACTGCTTAGATCGTTTAGAATAACCACTGGGGAGGTCGCCGTTTTTCTTAGGCACGGCTTCATTGTCAATGGTTTCAATGACATAACCAAGGAAGGATACATGTCGATACTTTTCTCAAAGCGGTTTGGCAATATTGCGTCAACGACGATATTCGATACGATAATCAAGTTTACCAACATTGCACAGATCGACGAAAAGGGAAGGACTGCAGTTCACAATATCGTTTCGACTAGTCATCCGATAATATCGGACGACGAGTATGTTGATTTGTTTGAGCAATTGACGGAATGTGGACTTGACATTGATGCTCAAGATGAAACAGGTTGGTAAATTGTATAAATAATATTGATGTAGCTTTTCTTAACGTGTATTTTCTTTTTTATTAAGGTAAAACTGCACTTCACATGGCAGCGATGTTCCGGAATCATGTGGCTGTGTCGGGTTTATTAAAATCCGGTGCGGATCTTAACATATTAGACTCAAACAGGAAACCAGCGTTCGCTTATTTTCTCGAGTCATCTGACTTTGACGAGGACGTCGACGAAGGAGTCACAGAATTAACCATAAAAGCATTTGTTTTCCACATACAGAAATTGCAACTTTGCGGATTAGAATTTAATCAACTGAATGGGATGATTCGCGATCGTGCCATTGAAAAATACGCATTTCATTTTGATTTCTATGAAAGTTTTAATGCTGAACGTGAGAAGTTGAAAAAAACCAACATCGGATCACGCTCGTTTACTCTTTATGATTTTCTTTCTGAAACTGGTGCAGTGTCTGCTTATCCTATGATGACTCAGCTGGATCGTAATGAGACTAAAGAATTTTTTGAATCTACTTGTAAATTCACCTTGCATCGCGAATTCTATGAACTTGCGGGACTTTTAAAGCTACAATACAGAAAGGCAGTAAAGAGATTACAACTTGTAGAACCAGCGGTGATCGCGTTGCTTGGATTGACCCCTTACATGTTACCTGATTTATGCTCTGAAGCTATTTTAAAGTATCTGTCCAATTCCGAATTATCTAAGCTTATCTCGAATATACTTCAAGTCGAGCCTGGGCGGAAACGGATAAGAATCCAGTGAGGAACAAAAATAACGACTGAACATTCGGTCGAGTCCATAGTTTTATATTTGGAAAAGCTACTGCGCGAAGATTTTTAATAATATTTTCATTCTATACAACAATTTTTTTTATAAATATCATCAATAAATTATTACATTGAATTTCCATATGTGGTTTGTTTTATTCGTATCATTATATAATAATAAAAAAAGTGTTTTTCTCTCTCGTTGAAAAAAGTATTTAAAAACTTTTTTTTAACGAATTCAAAATCGAACTAAAATTATATTGGTTAATAGGTAACAAAAATTAAGTTTTATAGTATTTTTGTAAAAAATAAAATTCACGTTACGTTCAGCATATTTATTATATGCGGAACTAGTGGATTTAAAAATTTTTAAGTCAATTCGAAAATTAAATTAATCATCAGATGGTGTAGAAATTTATAAGTAGAAATAAATTATTACAAAAAATATTTCTTTTATAAATAGTCTATTCAACATAGATGATGTTATAAAAATACTTCAGAAATATTAAGTTTTTAAAACTCTAATAAAACAAACATAAATTACTACATAAGATTAAGAATATCCAGTATCACATTCATAGTTTGATCATCAACCAATACTATATCAAAAGCTTCTATGTACGACTGCAAATTTTCTTCTGCCTGCAAATGAAAGTAAAGAAAAGTCAATATCTCGAATTAATTTACTCAATTAACAGAATAAAAGAACCTACATTTTCATAAAGGAATCCAATCTTGAGAACAGTTTCAGTGTCCTTCACACCATCTGCCATCGCTGCATCACCAATCATATCACCCATCAAAATCACATTTGTGCGACCATGTAAAATCTTGAAATAATCATGTTCAATGGAATGCTCATTTTTGTTGAAAGCGTGAATCAAACGTTTGTGGTTCTTGAAGCCATTTAGGGTATTTCCATTGATTTCCAAAAAATTGGATATAATATTAACGTTGTCGTGTAATACTTCTTGCTGCCTTAATAGAGCTTGTACAACATCACCCAATCCAGCGCTGAATACCAAAACAGGTACGTCTATATTTTTCAACTTTGTAAATAATTCTTTGGCTCTGTCTCTCAGTGAATGTCCATAGATGCGAGTGACTTCTTCTATTTCTTCATGATCAAATTCACATCCTTGTAACTTATTGTGTAAAGTCATATACCATTCATACATTGCCTTTACTTTGTCCTCCAGGCAAATTTTTGGATCAAGCTCAACTGCTCTGTACTTCAAGTACAACACTTTTGAGTCTTTCTTGTATTGCTTAGGTAGTTTTTTACATTTTGTAAAAATACCTGAATATCAAGTTATAAAAAAATAAGTTTTAAATTTTTATTGATAAGAATTTAGTTAAATTTAGCCACAATGAATGTCAAGAAAGACTTAGATTCATTTTAATTTACAAGTTATAATTTCAAACTATTAATAAATGATACAATTATTTTCTGACAAAAGTTATGGTAAAATACAGATTTTTAATGACTTATTTTAGCTAGAATGTGACATTCAAAATAAACAAATGTGAATTTTTACAATGTTGTCAAAAACAATACTGCAAAAAATAAATATATTGGAAAACAAAATATTTACCAAAACTACTCAATATTGGAGCTCCATCTTCATGCTGCTTTGTTAGTGTCAGATCAAAGTCCGTCACTACCTGTAGTTAACGTATGATTTCATGAATACGTCAAATACAAACAAACAAAAAAGGAAACAAGAATTTCATACAAACCTGCAATTTACTAGCACCGTCAAGAGCTATTTTATTGATCTTTTGAAGAACCCCCGCCTCATCTTTGATGTGCACATGTGGAGCCTTCAAGAAACCCAGCTATAAACAACAATGAAAAAATGTTTGTAAACAATTAATCAATGATTCCGCAGGTATAGGTTAGAGCAAGCATCGAAGCCTCTGCATCCGAGAATATGTGTACTCACGGCGTTGGCAGTTATTTTTTTCACGGACATCTTTATCACAAGAGATACGCAGTTAATACGACGACTGGTCGAGTGGAGACTGATAAATTGACGGAATTAACGCTTCGAGAAACTTTAACATTGCCCTCGAAACGCAATTACTGGATCGGAGCTTGGAGCAACGCCAAAGTGTGTTGGCATTTAAATGTCGTCTGCTCCCTTCTTTGTCAGCTGCTATATGAAAACTACACACTACTGTGAACTGTCTCGTGCGTGCACACGCTACATACACATACACGCGCGCGAGTGTAGCGGGTCAGTGGGGTTTCATTTGACTTTCAAAGTTTTACTCTCTTGTTATTGCGGTGTGTGTGTATGTATGTATGTGTAAAATGATATAAATATGTATGTTTTCCGTGATGCTTAAACTGTTTTCGTAACTTTTATTTTAGTTGTTTTTTTTTACTTCTTACAATAATTATAGGAATAAATGATTATTTGTTCGAGTATTTACTCCTACTAGTAATAAGTCAATTGGTTAATATCACAACGTCTATTTATTAAGAATACAATTGACAGACTAACTATAGAAATGTTTTTTCATTAAACGAAATGAATGTTCGTTGCTATGCTCATACTTTTGTTTCTCAACCACGTTCGAATGTTGGTTCGAATGCTCGGTGCGTTCGCCACAATAATAATCGATCTTTTCTAAAAAATATCTGTAGAGAACTTATTATAAGCTTTTCCAAAGTGTTATTCCTTTTTTAATTACGTATAAATTATTTATGTTCAGAATAATCGATACGAATGGAATATAAGTAAACGAATCCCTTGTTGGATACGAAGATAATAGTTTTTCATTTATTTGAATAACTTAGTAGAGAATTTACATCACTAATACTTTTGCAATCGTATGCGTATCGATTTACAATTTTTGCTTCATTACATGTAATTGAGAAAAAATTATATCTAACGTCTAACATTACTTCAGAGCCACTTGATGATATCCAGTATCACATTCATCGTTTGGTCATCATTCAAAACTATATCAAAAGTTTCCTTATACATTTCCAAGCTGTTTCCAGTCTGAAATAGAAAAAATAAAACAACTTTTTCTCGTCAATTCTATTTAAATACATGTATTAAAGCTAAAAATTAGCAAGTATATAAACTATAAGCTAGTAAATAAAAAAATTGTATTTTGGTTGTTTTGACATTGTTTTTAAAATTACGCTTTGTAAAATAACATATAACTACCTGATTGTAGAAAAATCCAATCGTCAATTCTGTTCCTTTATTTTCAAATCCATGTGCAATCGTTACATCTCCTATGTTATCGCCCATCAAGATTTTATTGCTGCGAATTTTCAGGGCCTTGCTGCTAACAAAATAACTTACGTACTCATGTTTGTTAAATACACTAATTGGATGTTTATAATTTTCTAAGCCGTCAAGAACAGTTCCATTGAATTTCAACCGATTGGCTATGATAGAAATATTGTCATAATGTATATTTTCGTGACTGAATTGCACCTCGATCACATCGCTCAATCCTGCACTAAATATCACAACTGGTATATTCAAATTATGAAGTCTTAAGAATAATTCACTTGTTCCATTTCTAAATGAAGGTCCGTATTGGAGAACGAGCTTTTCTATTTCTGTACGATCGAACGGCAATCCTCGTAGTCTGGTCTGAACTGTTTCAATTAATTCCTTCCATGATTCTGATATTCGTTCTTTGTTGATTGTATTTATCATTGGAATTGCATTAAATTTGGTGAGCAAATCTTGAATTGCTTTAACGATAGTTCTTGGCAGTTGTTTGCTTTGAAAAAAAATTTCTTGAAAAATACATCAATTATAAAAAGTCATTAGGAAAGTTGATAAATTGTTATAAATGAAATTGAAATGTATATGGATATTACCAGCCGAATCCATTGATAGAACTCCATTTTCGTGTTGCTTTGTCAATGTTTGGTCAAAATCCGTTATGAACTAGAAAAATATACAAATCACTGATAAGTGTACACCGACTTTCACAATCCTGATTGACATACTTTAAGATGATCACTTTATCTTCACGTGAACTTTTACGTCCAAGTCAAACGAGCTTTGTCTCGCTTATTTATCGAACGTTACTTTTTTTAACAACGCGTGCGATATGAGATTTTGTAAGCATGATTACCGTTCCAAACTTGGCGCTGTAGACGATCGCCTCCCGCACAGAGAAATACGCGCAATTTCTAAATCCACTAACCAATCGAGTTTCAAAATCTTTTAAACCAGAGAGAATATAAAAAATAAGCGTGGTAAAGTAAATTATGAATTACCTCAAGGTTGTCTGGTCCTTCGGATATTATTGCATTTATTTTTTCAAAAACTGCCGATTCATTTTTCATGTGTACATGTGGGGATTTTAGTATACTCAGCTGATAAACAGAATATTTAAAAACCATTAAAATGAAAATCAACATGTATCTTTCGCATCTGTACCAACTTTTTCGATCGTTATTCTCTCGTCCAATTTAATTCCAATGCTCAAAGTAGTAAGAAAGATAAAGATAAGTAACGTCCGAAAAATCATGGTTGCGTTTGTTTTACAGCTGCTATAACTATGAAATTCAGATAATATTAGCACAACAGCTGACATATTCAATAAATTGAGTAATAAAAACTAAATGAGGCAATTCGTAGATATTGAACAAAGAATAAATTAAAATAAAGCCCACGTTCATTCAGCAATATAATTAGAGGATAATATGATAAACTAATATTAATACAACGATTTTTCGCTCTACTTCGGGCGAATTGTATATATTTGTTAGTTATAGACGATTGTTTTAATGGATTATGTTAAGCAGAATATAATCTGCAATTTAATAACCATTAAAATCTTAAAATAATTTTTTAGATTGAATCGGAACATATAATTAAATCTGTAATGTCGATTACAATAAAAAACTATTTATTAGTCAAGTAATTAAAAAAATATATTAAAGCGAACTAGAAGCATGTATAAAAAGAATTTTAAGTAATTAATAAATATAGGAATTGTAAAATAGAATAAGATAATGAGTCTTGCAATATGATCTAAAGGTAATTAGAAAATAAGAGTAAAATAAAATGACAGCTTACTTTTGTTGACTAAAACGAGTTTGTCCTTACTGAAATATAATAACTGTCAACCAGATCACGCAGGCTACTGGATTACGACTGAAGCTCATACCTGTGGTACGAAATTTCTTATATATCCTCACGAACATATTCAAAAATGAGCGTGATACATTTTATCTCTTAAATTGTTGACTTTTTCGGAAAGAAAAATTGCTTGTTGGAATGGTTCGATTTGCATGGAAAATTTCATGGTGTTCAATTTACAGTCGACATAGTAATTCTCATTCATTTTTGACAATCGACATTATTTGTCAATATTTCAATTTTCAACTTCTTTAGTGCATGATTTTTTATAAAATTACGATTTTGAAATTGAAAATTTTCGAGATATCGCTCCGGGACCATGCTCAATCGATTCAGCGCGTGAAATTACCCCTAGTAAAAAATATAGTAAAAAATAAGTAAATAGTTTTAGTTGTATGTGTCACGTCATAGCGTATTGTTGTCTCAAGACCTTTGGCTGAAACAACTCTACTATCGAACTTGACTTTCTTCAAGACGACTGACTAGGTCGTGATCTTAGGATTCGTTTTTGGGAGTTGCGGCGGGATAATACCGTTCAAGAATTCACCGGGATGTTCTATCAAAAATGACTTTTCGGATAACAAATTTCCCTTGTTTAACTTGATCCAGAATCCATGGCTCAGACCCAAACAAATTATGACACCAACCCAAACTTTAACTCTTATAATAATTTTTTTTTAATTAATATTATAGTTCAGTCATATCATCAATAATTACATTTCATTAATATAAAGTCTTCTCAAAAATAATAAATTAATAATACGTAATAAAAAAGATTTTAAAATGTTGCATGATTTCAGTCAACCTAAAATGTTATTGTATAGCTGTATTTCATAAGTTTAGAAAGTGTTTTACAAAAGTTTTAAAAAGTTTTCCAAACGTTTTTCTATTTCAGCCAGTCTTAAATCTTATAGAGAAGCCATTTCCCTAAGTTACAGAAACATTTTACAAATATTTCATAATATTAACCTGAATTATTAGCCTGAATGAAAATCCAGTTTCCAAACGTTTGAAATATATTTATAAAACGTTGAAACATTTTTGCCATCTTGAACTTTTATTAATAATTCGATTTTCAAACGTTTTTAAAACATTTCACTAACGTTTGAAAACAGTGACCTCCAAATTTATAGTGGTCAAACGTTTATAAACATTTCACTAACGCTTTCAAGACATTAGATAACTATTGAAAACTAAAAATTTGCGGACATATCCAACGTTATCAAAACGTTTCAAAAGAATTTTTTATACAAAAATCTTGAAACGTTTAAGTTTCCAGAGAAATGTTTTCGAAATGTTTTCAAAACATTTGTATGTTATTCGGGAAATATTATTTTTACTTTTTCAATTAATTTATTAATTAATTAGTTAGTCAATTCCATCAGTCCGATGCCAGTAACACATTCAATTTACAAATATAGTCTCTTCAGACGCAGACTTAATTTTTATTCAATTGATAAAATTATCGATGAGGAATGTGTTAGTGAGACGTGATAAACGTGTTTCAACGAAACCCGCAGAATCACCATCTTATTGTATATAGAAGAAAAGAAACATATAGTCGCGCGCTTTTACTGCTTCGTTCTTACTTTGTGCTTACTCAAATGTGAATCGTGACTAGATGCAAAGTCGGGCCGAACGTTTAACCACTTAGAAACACTATCCTGATCAATACCGTTAGTATGAAAGGCAGGTCAAATAGGGAAAAAAGATTACCAGTATAAAGAGTCGGAGGCAACTATATAATTTACCTGTTTTTTTATTAACAAACGAATTTCACGAGCAGTCATTGATGTATAATTTATTAGTGATCGATTATCATGCATTATCTTTAAAAATAATTTCTTCAAATAGACGATAATTAACATTTTTGTATGAAACAATCGAGTAATGACAATGGAGTCAAAGTTATTTATGCAACATTGAAGAACCTCTTCGTCAAAAACATACCAATCGAGTGTAGAGTGTTTCGATTTCTTTCGAAGATTTGCCGTTTCTTTGGGGAAAATTGTATCATTGGAAATGTACCTTTAAAGCACAAAGAATCGATACGATCGTTCTCGAATATCAATTTTCCTTTTTCAAACAGAATTTTTGTACTACAAAGTGCAGACGCGAAGAGTGCAGGCAAACACCACGTTCGTTATAAATTTAATAGGAGTGCTAGTTGAAAAGTTAAGTTTACTTTTGAACTGAGGCAATACGACCAGATACGATACCTCGGAGCCTACAACTTGAGAAAAAAAGCGTCGATAGATTTGACGTGATGTTCAAGTAGAAAATCAAGGAATTTTGACAAGAAAACCCACAGATAACAATTAACAAAGTATTGTCCAAGGAAAAAATACCATAAACTCCGAAGTCGACAGTTTCGTTCTGGAGATACTGGTGATACTTCGTCAACTGAAAAATAGAACACGCCGCAACGGCACGAAACTGCTTCTCCAGCCTTTTGTCCACGCCGAGTCTCGAGTAGTCTCGAACTATTTCGCGCATGCACTTGCTCTTGAATAGAGTTGCTTCAAAATTGTCGAGAAACGTTCAGACAAGCATGAATACATACCTCTCCTCGACGGTGTCAGTGGCGCATTCCCTCGGTAGCTCGAGAACGAATACAAACGCAAAATGAAGGCAAAATAAAAATAGTTTCGAGTTGAAGAGCTGCGCAAATTATTCGTCCGCGAAAAAAAGTACAGCTTTATTTTAAAAATCGTTGAAACGAAGAGGGATAGAGTGGGAAAAAAGAAGAGAAGGGTGCTGTCAGTGAGATGAACAACGTCTACAATGTATATCGCTATATACACACTTTAATAACCAAAAAAACAAACATTACAATAATAATCATAATATCAATATTGTTATTAATTGTTTATATTTATGTAATAATAGAATTATTTATCAATCGTAGTGGAAACACTAAAAATCCTTTTTTGTCGTTCTTTTTTTGTTTTTTTTTTGTTTTTGTTCTTCGTTTTGTTTTTTCTTTCGCTCGCACGATCTCGTTACAAAGAATAACGCGCATACGCGTGGAGACGCGTTCCATCGTCTCTGCGTTTTCTTTTTGTTTTTCTCGGGCGCGCGACAAGCGACATCCCTTGCCATAATATTATACGGTGATGAGTGAATGTTTCACAATTACATTTTACCGGAATACCTAAAGAAAAACAAAGAAACCTCGCGTCCTCTCGTCCTTCGGTTGTCACCGCCCTCTCACGCGCACAAAGCTATTATTGCCCTTCGAGCTCTGTGTCGTCCAAGTCCGTGAGTGTACAATCGAAAAAAGAAGTGGCCTGTACGTTCTAACGTTCTCGAAGATTATCACGGGTGATTTTTTAGAGTACGTATCGTGAACTTGGCGTGTGAGTGAGTGTGTGAGCACGTGTGTACGTGTATGTGTGTGCGTGTGTGCCTTTCGCGCGTACGCTTATTACTTACGTAAAATTGATTGTTCTCTCGTATGATCCCGTGGTTGAACGTGGTTCGTCATTGTGTCCTCGCGAATTCGGTTTCCACTCGTGATCGCGCGCGAGGAAAAGCTTCGTCGCACTCTCCGCTCCCGCTCGTTTGTACCCTACGTGTATTTATGTACAATCGCCGTCGACTCGAAAACGGAAAATTGCAATCAACCAACGAAATGGCGTCGCGCGCTAAATTAATAAGCTCTATTCGACTCCGCGTACGCAACTAATCAACAATGGATTTGCTTCCCTTTCGCTCGTTCGTCACTCTCTCTCTCTCTCTCTCTCTCTCTCTCTCTCTCTCTCTCTCTCTCTCTCTCTCTCTCTCTCTCTCTCTCTCTCTCTTTCTCTCTCTTTCTCTCTCTTTCTCTGTTGTCACAAAAACCCGTTACAGTCGAGTATACGTATACGCAACAACATCGTCACTATCTCTCTTTCTCACTCGCTGCATTTCCATCATACTCTCGAAGATTAAATACAAAGAATGAACGATCTTTTTTTAGTTCCGCTCAAACTCTCTTGCACACAGTAATTTATAACTCTCTCTCTCTCTCTCTCTCTCTTTTCCTCGCATATATCACAATCATCCGCGACGCGGCGCGGGAGAAGCTCGAAAGAAGACGTTTTGTTTTCTCATCTGGATATCATAGCTGTAGAACGGGATTACACGAGAACGACTCATAGGAATATTACGTCGATACAGAGCTGGCCTTTGTTTGTCTGTTCGTGCGCATTATGTAACTCTTCTCGTTATTGGTCGTTCGAGAGGCGTACCTCCCTCTCGCAATTCGGTGGTCGGTGAGGACATTCGGATATGTCTCGGGGGTGCGCTACACGCGTCTGTTTCGCTGGGATATACGTGCGATTTCTCGCGCGATATGTCGACTTTGGTCCGATACGTTTGTCCGCTTACCTCCAAAAATCGACTCGCAACTACAACAGTAAACACGACATGGAGGAAATCGGGATCTCGCGCTCGCGAGGACTCTGCCGTCTGCTGCTTGATCGGGAGCAAAAACTCGAAGAATACGTGAATGAGACTACGGGATTACTTCGCTAAGTGTCTATAGCATTAAAGCACTTTTCCCATCAGCCGTTTCCCCTCCTACTCCGACTAACGTTCTTCCCCGCAAAGAAGACAACTACGTTTTTTTTAAATTTTTTAGTTACGGCTAATACACACACACGACAATAGATGCGCGTGCTAGTGTGTGTGCGTACACATACATATATATATATATAGACATCCATATATATATATACATATATACACACACACGGTTATTCTTATTGTACGTATAAATGTCATTATTAATTTTTTTTTTGTTATTTAATCATTTATTTGTATTTCGTGTCTGCATGTGTGATAATATACTTTATTTTTTGTCTCTTAAATCCTCGCCTTTTTTCCTCAATATGCGTTATTACAATAATAGTAATAATTAATAATAGTTACATTTATAACCTATTCATTTTTTATAGTTTTATTCTTATTTGCTTTCCTTTTTATACATAAATATTGCCAGTAGCAGACAATTTTACAAAACGTTATAATATACCCTGGAATAATGTCTTACAGCTGCGTTCTACCAACGAATTCCTTTGTAGCTCATTTATATTTATTACTTCATTATTTATTATCTTCATCGAGATATGTCGGTTGCAATATGTATTGATCACGTGATAAAACTCACCAATTCGCCTTTTTCCTTTCCTCCTTTTACTCATCCGTTTATGCCCATTAGGTTTCGGTTATCTTACAAAAGGAATTCGTAATTATTCTTTACTTGTCTTTTTTTGTTTTTGTTTTTGACTTTGTGGTTTTTTTTACTTTTTAGTCCCTACACGATCAAATGACTAATAAGTCTCAAAAATTATACACATCACGTATTACAATATTAAACACTCACTAAACGTGTGTCCTGGCACAGATTCTAGAAAAATTCTCGCCTCCGACGAATTCGCTTTTACAATATGTGCAAACTAACTTCGACCTAAACTGTGTATTTCCCCGTAAAACTTCTTTCTCTCGCTCTCTTTCTTTCTCTCTTTCGCTCATCACGTTAATTCGTGTCACTTTCTTTCGCGTTATGCTTTTTTTAATTTAAGTAGCTTCTTTTTGTTTGTTTCTTATTTGTTTTTTTTTTCTTTGACCCTGTTTTCTTTAAAGGCTTCGTAACGCAGGTTATATGCATATGGTGAAGTGCAAAACAGGAAAGTGCAGTTCGAGGGTCAGCTTCACCGTATTTCCACTTGGCTTTGTATTTTTATTATCATCATTCGTTCAATAAAGGGGTGGATGAAACAAGTGTGCAGTTAGATCGTTCGTCCACCTGCAATTCTTGTGCGCGCAAAAAGAAGAAAAACGAAGAAGACAATTAACAGTAACGTAGGTAACGAATCTTGGTTTTATTGAAAAAAAGGGGAGAAAAATCTTGAATCGTCGCTTGTCTTGGCAGACTTTAGAGATTAAAAGTACGTATACAAATGACGCGATCGAGACGACAAAACAAAATGATAATTGATATTCCAAACGCACATGTGGCAATCGACAGTGGACTTCTTTTCTTTCGTGTTCGCGCATGCGCGCGGGTTTTTTTTCCACGTGCTTATTTAACAATTCTACAAGTATTCGTCTCTTCGCAACGAGGCGCATTATTACAAATTGGGAAGCAAAGTGTTTGGCACGCCTTTGGCACACGTCTCGTCGGCGACGTTTTGGCACACCACACGCGAGATGCGCGATCGACGAGAAGAAAAAAGAAGAGTCGAAGAACGCCGTTACACAAACGCGCAACCGAGTTACGGTGATGAGCGCGTATACATTCTTTCATAACGATATACGTATGTGTGTGTGTGTGTATGAGAGATAAACAACCAAATATATTCGAGCGCGACTTATTATCCTATATAAAAACTAAGCTTTTTTTTTCTTAGCTGATTGCCTTGTGTCTGTGTATTATTCTTATTTGTTTCTTTTATTTTTTAATTCTCGGGCACTTTGGCCCGCAGTTAGGTTAAGGCCCCTGCACTAACGGATTGCTCTACGCCACAACAAAATTTACCTTCGTGTACGTGCTTTTACTCCCTTTCAACCCCCTCCCTCCCACCCCAGTCAACGTCCCAACCCCCGCAACAAAGTTTCTTGATAAAAAATAAAACTTACTTTATCACTTATAACGAATGAACAATTTTTTGTGTTCGACGCATATATCCTTAACGATACACCGCGCGATAATATCACTTTCAAAAAGGTTTTTTTTTCAGTATCATTATTTTTAAGTAGCTTAGAAACCTAGAAAATACAACAAACACAGGATGTCGGAATTTCGAATCAGATTGCTGTCTTGTTTGTAAAATTGGCACCGTTGGCGCGATAATCTCCCTTTTCATCTTTCTCTCTCTCTCTCTCTGTCTTTCTCTATCTCTCTCTCTCTCTCTCTCTCTTGCTTCGAACACCTCACATCGGAAATACACGTATACGTACAAGAGATTCTTTACGAGACTTATTACATAGATTAAAAAGGTTTTTTCCTGCATTTACTTCGCTAGGTTATTACTGTTTAAAACTGTCAAGCAGACGAGCACGTCGTCGAAATGTCGGAGTATTTCTTTTACTTTGCTTCGTGTTTGTGGTTGCTGTGTGTTCAATGACAGACTATTGACAAATTAATTCAAAAGACTTAAATGTAAGTTCAGTGCTTGTGTCGTTACATAAACTGATACGTTAGAAAGAAAGATTCATGCTATTTAAAGTGTTGTATTTATTTTATTTTTTTTTTGTCATTTATCTGTTTGCGAGTGTGGCTATGCTCGATATATAGAATAGAATAATTGGTAGATTACTGTGTTAACGGATATGTTTTTCTTTAACTATTACGACAATGATTTTTGTAATTTCAATTACTATTGTTAAAACCTCTTTCCTTTTCAAATCCTTTCTAATTTCAATATTTCTTTGTTGAGTTTTTGCTTCAAGAAAGGACCCGAGTGAAGCTCGAGAAAGATAAGAATCAAGCGAAAATAGAAAATATATCAGGGGACTCAGTCTTCGTAATCGCCTTCGAAAAATAATTCCCTTATTATTATTATTATTATTTTCTGTTTTTTTCTTTTTTTGACAGACGAATCGCGACTAACTTTCACTCAGATCTTTCCTTAAGTACAGAGTGATAATTTTTCGGCGTAATTCGATCTGTACAATATTTTGGCTGAGATTAATCAATGCAGGGATCTGGTCCGCTCGAATTCCTTTTTTCCTATATTGTAGCTGAATTATTCTCTTTCTCATTCAGCCACGAGCAAAAATTCGAAATTAAAAGGTTTACAAATTATTAATTCAATCAATTTCGATGATCCTACCCCAAATAATTCATTTCGATAAAAATACGAATTTTCACTCGTAGGTATTAACCTTCCGCGATGCGCCCTTATAAAGTCATTCTTAACTATGAATAACCTATTAATCAACCCTAATCACAGCGATTTATTGTTGATACACACAATCATACAGCGTCTCACTAAGTTTTTTTATTTTTCATAATGCTTTTTTTACGTGTAAATTTTTTCGCTACACCAGAGGCTTGTTTCTTCTCTCTCCGCTCGTGAAACCCTCTTGTTTAAATTGTCTTTTTTATTATTTATCTTTTTAGACAGTCGCATCTTACTAACAATTAATCTCTACAACGAAATATGAACACATTCTTTATTAAAAAAAACGATATACAATAGAAAAAAAAACAAAGTAAAACTACGAATTTTAACTTTTCGCAAATTTCGTCCTAATACTATCCAACAATTTTGATTGTAATAAAAAAAAGACAAGAAAAAAAAACGATAAAAAAAAACGCTAAAAAATTCCCTCGCACGTGTGTACAAAAAAGGCACTTCGCGCAGAGTTCGCGGTTTTAGCGAAGATCGTGTACGTTAATATTATTTGTGATTGTTCTATACTTTCAGCGTGAAAACAAGGATGAGGGAATTTTTTTTACTTCTCTCTCGCTTACGACGAATAACAACGTATGTACAACAATAAATAAAGCGAACAACAGTCATTGGAAGATACATCTTTACGACGAACTGAAGCTAAAAAAGATGTCATCTCTTTTCCTATTGCTCTTCGTCTCTTTGGCACACGCCGGAAGCGCGGATACTTCAGTCCAAGTGTGGGTATTATTTATTTTTTTCTTCATTTTTTTATTGCTTCGCGGGTCTCGAGGGAGGGAGCTCAACGCGCCTCTCGACTGTTTATTATATTTTTTTTAATTTTCTTTTTTCTTTTCTTTATCTCGCCTCGTTTTATTTACTTTTAATTTAATTGTATAATAAATATATATCATATATATATAATATATTCCTTATTCTGTAAATCCACGTAATAATTTGTTTAATTATTTATCTGTTTTCATTTACCTTGCCACGTATGTGTGTGCTAGAAGCCACTTATTTTGTAAATCTAAAGCGAGCGATTTAAAAACGAATGTGTTTGTCACATTTACTAATTTAGAATTTCGCATCTTGATATATTCATAATCGATTGAACGAAAATCATCGCAATACAAGTCGAATCACAATAATGGATCACAATTTTTTGCATTATTTTTTGCTGTTTTTCTGGTCCAAACCAAAAAAATCAAAATGAATTGAACGCAACGCGCAAGTTTAAAAAAAATGCTCTCCGCTCTCTCGTCGTCGTGTCACTCTCTCTCTCTTTTTTTTGTTGTTTGTGTTGTGTTGTTAAATATAAAAATGAAAACTAACGTGTATCTTTGGCTTGTTCCCATTACCAATCGGCGGCAACGCAGGACGTGCCGCATGCGTTATTATTTGTTTTTTTAATGTTTTTTCCTCTCATTTTTTTTCATTTTGTACAGTTTTGTACATTGATAATCTCTCTCTCGCTCCGCCTCTCTCGCTCTCGTGTACAGTGTGTCTTTGTGTCTAATATGACACGAGTGAGCCGATACCCTGAACACACTTCGGTGGCTCACTCGCTTGCGTTTTTATTTCCTCCGCATTCATCTGCTCTCAGTCTCTCTCTCGGACACGGCGCTGATGGTGCTAGTGGTTGACGATGATTGCTGCGGTTTCGATTCCTCTAGTGAATCGGCGACTTGACAATATGATTCGGCGTTATGTACTGATACGTCGGTATCGCCATGCCACCTGTCTCGAGCGATATCCTGAAAACAGACAAAGCAGGAATTACAATCCCTTTATTGTAGTGATTTGTTACCACAGCGTGTGTGTGTGTGTGTGTGTGTATAGACACACACACACACACACATAGTTTTCGATGCACAATAGACGTGGTTTGAAAATAAGCAAAGCTTTACCGAAATTTAACGACTTTCAGTATCAAAAGTTCAACTTTGAAAATAATCGGCTTTCAATCAACATTGCTACTTAAAAAATTTATTCACAAGTATAAACATTAAACAAACAGTCTTGGAAAAATATAAAAAATAGAAACGCAACACACAGAGCTTTCCTTACTTTCAAAAATAAATAAAAAAGAGAATGCGTAATTTGAATAAATGGAAAATTGATTAAATTTGCATGATAAATAAACATTTTACTTGTAAGAAAGATAAGAAAAAATAAAGATATTTTCCACTCATTTCGAGGCGACCACGACATGCTTAGAGTAAACCAGTATTTGGAAAAAAGAAGACCCTTACAAAAAATCAACATTATTGACATTGACAATGAAAAGTATAGAATAAAAAAAGAAGATACAGAAAGAGGAGTCAGAAAACATAAAAGAGACAGGTATTGTAACAACATACGCTCCAGTTGTTTGTGCAACAGTGCATTCAATATATTAAACCGTCTGCATTTCTCTTACAAAAGATATGTTGTCGATCAGTTTTTTTCTCTCGTATACATATATAAATGAAAGACAGACGTTTGCCTACAGAGAACAAAACAGAGAAAGAATGAAAAAAAAATTCTTTTTTTTAATAGTCCGCTGCTGATGGCGTTGAGAGCGGGATCAATAGATTAAGAGGACTAAAAAGGAATGGACGGCTTGTGCTTACCGAAGTGAGAGACGGTCAGGATGCCTGGGTTTTTCAAGTGTTGGTGGTTGGTGGTAGTTGGAGTGATGGATACATCTTCTCGTGTTTTCTCTCTCTCTCTCTCTCTCTCTCTCTCTCTCTCTCTCTCTCTCTCTCTCTCTCTCTTCTCTCTCTCTCTCTCTTTCTCTTTCTCTCTCTCTCTCTTTCTCTCTCTCTCACTCACACACTCTCGCTCGCTTTTTTTTTGTTTCGTGTCACATCGAGTGTTTCGCACTCGCTCTTCGCAGGCATTTACTTCGCCTTTTCAACGATCAACATTCAATTAAACTTTTGTACTTCTAATTCTACCTCTCTCTCTTTCCAATTTGATTCCGCCGAATGAGAGCTCCATCACTTTGATGCAACTCGCGCTCGCAGAGCTGCTGTGTTATTTTTAATCGGTGCAATAAATTAACGAACAACCCGGCTAACTGCAGCTTCGTTGAAAGGTAAGGGTAGAAAGGTTTTCGCTCACTGTATTGTTTGTATTAAACACGCCTAGCTCTTTATTCAGTAAGGTGATACAGAGTTTTCAGATCAATTGCTAGTCACACAATCGACGTTAATTAGTAATATATTCAATATGAAAAAAAAGAAAAAAAGTACCAAGACTTGGAAAAAAAATTCAGCGGGACTCTCTTATAAGTCTATATCAATATCCTTCATGCATCCTTTCATACGTATAATATAATTGAAGCCATCTTCTTACAAAAAAAAAATAGCAGATAATAGTCACTTCCCTTTCTGACCACACTGGTTATTGTCACAATGACGAAAGGAAAGGATGCACATTCAGAAATACAATCTTCGATCGCTAATACATATATTTATCCATATATACTTAAGTTTGGCCGAAAAATTATAACTTCAAATAACAAAATACAAATTGTATCGAAAATATCTTTTCTTTTAATTATGAATCGTTTTTTATTTTGACTTTTTATGCTACGTAAAAAATCCTAAGCGTAACGTGTATATCATTAATTTCGACAGCCTAATGTATGAACCTAAAATCAAGGTACCAAAAATATATTCAGTAAAACGGAAAAAGCTAAGATAAGAAACGCATACTTTAAAGTCCGATCGATGTACGATTCTCAGAATCTTTCAAAAGTACAATGACAAGAATGAAATGCTTTTTGCTCGCTGAATTCGCACGCAAATATATAATACGGTGAGCAAAGAAATTCTATTCTTAGAAGATTTATTTTCTAAAGCTACTGTGCTTAAGATTATATACGAATATGCATAAGTATGGTATTGTAGTAGTGATTACTTCCACGAACCAGAAAAAACGGTATTTTCTTATCATTAGAAGACTAATATTTCTAAATTTATTATTCTACAATAATATTGTTTTTTCAATATTTTATATGACATTTTCTTCTTTCTTACTTTTTGTTAGCGCACTTATACTTTCGAAATCATACACCTCAATCGAGAATAATTATTACAATGATTATGGCTTACTGCTTTACGTCTCAGCAGGTAAACAGAAGTACACAAGTTGAAGAATTAATTATCCCTCTCGGCATCAATTTTTTACTTCACGCACTCGTCTAGTTGTCAAAGAAAGAAGAAAAAAACATATAGTCCTTTCATCATAAAGCGAGTAAAAAAGTACTCAAAAAGAAAACTGGATAAATGGCTACAAGCTATAAAAAAATATCTGATCCAAGCTCGACGATCATACGATTACGATTATACAACTTAAAAGACGCGTGCAAGTCGCGTTGAAAAAAAAAAAAATTCATGGGCAGACAAAACAAAACTCGTTATGACATTGTATCGCGCAATCTGCCAAAACAACGTCTAACTAGAACTTTTCGAAACGTTCCTAGACATAAACAAAACTTGTTCGTCATTATACAGTTCATCATTATCGTTTTGTTAAATTCATTTCGTAGCGGTTCGATACAATTCTAAAAATTCACAAATGTGCATTCCACGTCGCCAGGTTACCAAAGTGTGACATATTTTAATATCTTTCTAATTTATTTTGAAACGGTTACCCTAAAAATGACGAACAAGTCATCTGGGAAACTTGGAAAAGTGCCAGCAGGGATTGTTCCGACTATAGTACATAACCTAGAAAACAAGATTAACAAAGAGCAGTGTATACACGTATAAAAAAAGGGCACAAGAAGTGAGTGAAGAAAAGAAAAGTAAGAAAGAATAAAAGTAATGAGCCGCGCGAGATTCACTCGGTGCGCTCGTCTTCGCCGTTCTGCTGCTGCACTCAGTAAGGATTGTACTTGGCACGCTCGGACTTGAATTTCCCGCTGTCGATGGGCCCAGGTGCACTGGGACTTCGTAGTCTTGGCGTGAAAGCCTTGTGCGAGCGATGTACGCCGGTCGTCTGAACGGGTAGTGCGCTGGCTGCAGAAGCGACGCTCGCGGCACCACCTAGGAGTTCGGTTAAGCCGCCAAGGGCCGTAAGACTCGATAGGGCGTTGAGGGCGCCCGGCTTACTCAGCAGCTGGGCCAACGGGATGGCGCTCGCCAAAGGAGAGGCAGTGGTGTTGGTGGTGGTAGAGGGGGAGCTAGCACTGCCACCGGACGCCCCGGGTGACGTGCCGCTGCCAGGGTTTTGGGTATTTTGGGCCTCTAGGTTAGCTTTCTGCAATTCGACACTGGGAAGAACAAGACAATCATCATCATGTCAAGAGGTATAGGATTATTTTGAAGGACTTTATGCTTTGTTTTTTTTTTATCGTATCGATGGTGCTCACTCTACGCGGCGTTGCGTCAAAATTAATCTTAATTCGTCGGGACGGTCCTCTCGTATTTACCTTGCTGACAACTGAGGGCGTTGTATGCGTATACCGACCAATTAAGATTTACATTGATTTTTGCAACTACGCATACAGTAGATCGTTCATCCGAATGAAACTGTGATCATTGTCGTCTTAAAGTTCTCTTTTCCATCGTGTAAAGTCACAAGATAAATCTTTCGCAGCCAAAATAAACAATGATTGATGTCGCATTCGGACAATTACGAGTCATCGATACGATGGGCTTATCAATTTTGGATTTTAAAATAAATTTTGTTTATTAAGCGGTAAACATGTTTAGTGACAAGATTTTGTAATGATGGAAAAGTAAGGATCTAAATTATAATTTAGAAGATTGAGGTATGGTCAACCCAAAATGAATAGATTATACGGTGAGAATGGATAAGAGGTTAACAAAAGAATGTTTTCTTTCTTTTTAAATAGCCATTGCATTTTGAGTTGACGGCCAAGATTTTGATGAAGTAGAATATTGTTGAAGAAATTTGCGCATTTACCAAAGAAATAGAAGATAGAGAATTAGTGAAAAATTAAAATTAGAATAATAACATGGATAGGACATAATAGGTTATTTGTGAATGTGACGCTACTGGAACAGATTTGTTTTTTTAATATACCTATTTTGTCTAATCCACGATAATCGTTCAACACTTTACCACATCGAACGACTGTAAAATCAAAAGAAAAACAGGAACATGACTTTCCTTCATTTCTGCGTTTTTAAAATAATTTTAACTGTGATATAAAAAAATTGATTTAAGATTAAAAAAGATACCAAGTTTCTGCTTCTATCAAACAACTAAAATAAAAGTCACGCGCTCTGCACTTTGCTAACTGGACGCGTGCTTGGCAAAGAAAAAACAAAACTACGAATAAAATAAAGTTACTCCGAGACAACCATTACCGAAGCATATAAAGTTAGTGTTATATGTGTGGAAGGTAATGATATAGCAAAAACCAAGTAGTGTAATCCAGGAAGTAAAGTGCAGGTCACGTTAAATAATGGAATATGGAGTGCAAATGAGAACGGGATTAATCGGTTTGAGACTGAGAAAACAAAAAAAAATTTATGCAGCAACAAATTCACGTAGCTGACAGATAATAAATCGGAGGATAATGATGGTTATATCGGCTGTTATAATATACGTAATACGCAGATAATAAGGTGAAACAGACATATCTGGAATAAAATATACAGCAATGGATTATAATTATAATGCAATGGAGGTGCGTAATGATTGCCCTTTTATGGACGAGTGTATAATTTATTTTTCCGTGCTTGCTCAGTTGATCATCCGAGGAAGTTTATGGAACTGCCATTCAGGAGAGGATTTACGCACACGTGTCGCGTTAATTCATGTCACACAAACAACATGATTATTTACAATGTTTGTGTAATATGAAATGACGTAACAAGAAAAACAAAAGTACGTAAGCCAGTGCGAAGAGGCCTCCGCTAATATGTTAAGCAGATAAAATTTACAATTAGAAGCTCGGATTATAAACAATGAAAAAGGAAAAAGAATTTTGGATGTCTAAATAACGATTATCATGATATATATATATATATATTATACATGAATGAAAAGGAATTTGTTGAAAAGCGGAAGCCTCTCGGAATTAAACGGGATTCGCGACAACATGATATGTTAAATACATGATGGACAACTAAATGCAGAGGAACTAAAAAAAAACTCGCAAAATCTAGATGAGATGTACATAAATATCCAAGGATTAGGATGCTCTGCCAAAGGACTGGCTGGTGGGAATCTTCGTCCTCAATGAATGATCACCCCTATATATACACATGTGGATAAGAAGGATTTCAAAGAAAAGTATCGTCGGAGTTTAGGAAAATTAGCATCAGTTCTGCAGGATGGAACCCGGAATAGTATTACAGGAAACCTGGAAACAAAGGGATTAGCAATTTTTTTTCTTTTTGGCCCTTGTAAACTGCTGCTGCGTGCTGCCGGTGGAGTCTTCTTCTTCGACAGTCGATGCCAACATTGTCGTGAAAGAGATTCGCTCGCATTCTCAGTTTTACAAAGTCTCGACTCGTCATCAAGATCATTTCTTATATTTACATTCAAGAATGGAGAAAAAACAACGCATTTCGTCATAATATATCTCTTCGCTTCACCATCATCTTATCAATCACACTGTTCAACAGGTTTCGGTCTGGGCACACAAAAAGAAAAATACGCCCGACAAGATAGAGGGGGGGTCGTGGTAGGTAAAAGTGGGGTTCCACGTTGTGAAAAGCTAGTTTAGGGGAAACGAAAGATCATCGCGCGCGAAGTTGTCGCGGAGCGCAACGCAGCGGGGCGAACGGATGCAGTGTACTAACCTCATGTTGATGAGATACTGAGCGAGCGCTACGCTGTCGGGATTGCCGGTGATGGTGATGGTGCGATCTGTGGGGCCGCCCTCGCGCTCCTCGCAGTTGCTGATGCGTATCATCGCACCCGATATCTGACGAATTTCGGCGATTTTCGTACCGCCCTTGCCGATGATGCAGCCGATCAGCTCGTTCGGCACCGTCATCTCGTGCGTCTGGTTGTTTGCTGCGGGTTGTTGCCGGTTCGTGTTACTCGTACGCAACTGGCTACCCGCCAGTGCTGCCAATGCTAATTCACGCACACATTTTCACTTTTAATATTAACGAGTAGTTGTGTCGCGGGAGGCAAAGAAAACGAGCTACTCGTCGCTCGCTGTTGCGTGCGTCAACCCTTCAGTCGCGTAACCCATTACAGTCTCAGGTATTTCAGAGATCAAATTTTAAAACGATCAAACATAAACTAATCATTGTTAATTAATTATCAATGTAAACAAATACAATTTTTTCGCAAACGTACGACAAAAATGCTTGGAACATGGTTCGTGGGATTCATTGGAAGATCATCCAAAAGAAATTCATACCCCGTTTAGTTGAAAAAAATGTCCAATGGCCGTAATTATGAAAAAATAACCCTTTTCTTAATAAAAAATATTTTAATTGGGAAAAAATATAATAACGTACTAATAGTGTCGCTGAGAGGTTTAATTGGGAAAATATTTACCGAGCAATGAAAAAACGCACGGAGTGAGTGATAATAATGGAATATGGATCAATTCCTATAGGCTTCCACTTTTCAACAAATTCCTTTTCATTCATATATATATATATATATATATATATATATATATATATATATATGATATATAGATATTATTATGATATATATATATATATATATATATATATATATATATATATATATATATATATATATATATATATATATATATATATATATATATATATATATGATATATAGATATTATTATGATATATATATATATATCATAATAATAACTTCGTTATTATTCGCGCGATGTCAATTTAATCGGTAATCCCATTCGCGATGTTATCATTATCACCAGATAAAATTTCACTGTCGGCATCTCCAGTGAATGCACTGTAATCTGCGCGCCGATCGAATTCAAAGCGATTACAAGAGGGGAAGAAAGAAAAAAAACAACAAGGGATAGTCCGGAATCTAGTTTTCCGAAAGTCGTTAGCTTCTCTTTCGCCGAGAGCTTGGCATGCTGAAAATGGCGGAGGGGATTTCAGCCGAGCCAAACGTTCCTTCTCTTCTCGGTGAAACGCTCAATGCAACAACAATTACCTGCTGGATTGAGTCCTCCGGTGTTGGCTGGTGTTGCTAATCCACCGAGTCCAAGTGCAGCCAGACCAGCCAGTGGACTGCTGCCGAGCTTGCCCATCTGTAACACGGCCAGTAGAAGAGAACAAATCGTATGGTTTTTGTCCAATCCCGTTGCCTCCCAAGGAGCGTTCCACCTTTGCGCCCTCGTTTATTTGAAATTCGCCCCTGTCGTTCATCCTTTTCTTTTTTTTTTTTTTTTTTTTCATCCGGACGAACTGGGGATATTGATCGCGTTCTCTGACGTGCCGCGACCCACCCACTCACGCACCTACGCGCCGAATCATTAGCGCGCCTTTGCAAAACGTCGTCTCTTTCTGTACGTGGGAGCCTCCGTCGCGCGGAGCCTCGCAGCCGCTTTTT